GATGGGCATCTCTGCTGGCCGAGGGCCAAATACGGGGCTTTTGACCTTAGACATCATTTTCTCTGTTTTGGGTCCTATGGGATCTGATGGAATGACACATAGGGGCTGTGTTTGCCACATGCATAGCTAAGACCAAGATGGGGTCAACAGAGTCTGCCCTGAGACAATCTCTGGGGTAGTCCAGGCCATGAGTCCTCAGTCCTAGGATAAGGGGAATGGTGGAGTGGATTGAAGCTCCTTACTGGCCTGATAGAGCTGGCAAGTGAAGGAAAATGGACAGGGAACACCAGAGCTGAGGAGGCACCCGTCCACCTAGTCATTCAATGGTCTCTTCTGAGTTCTTATTTGATGCCCTCAACACTTGGGACCAGCCTGGTCCTAAGGGAAATGTATTATTAGCCCAGTCCCTACACCTGTTGGAAGGGCTGGCTTTTCCACACTAATCCAAATGATAGCTGTGGCTGGACAAAAGGCCCCCCTCAGCCCTTCCCGGAAGAGGCTCCTACCCAATATCCCCAACTGGCTCCTGGCCAGAACCTAGGATAGTTTTGGAGGTGATAGGCTCAAGGGCAATCTTCACGGGGGAGACTGAGCTTCCCTCTCTGAGGGCTAAAGGAGGGGAGTGGGAGGCACGGGAGGCTCTCATTAGAGTCCTGAGCTCCCCCCACCCCCAACTCTTCCCCTCACACCGAGACCTCTGTTGCCTCTGGCTTGGAACTGAAGTGTGTGTCAGTGGGAGTTGTCACTATGGCAGCTCAGGCCACTGCCACCTCTCCCCTCGATTGCTGCCACCAGCCTCCTGACTGGTCTTCCTGCCTCTAGTCTTTCCACTCTCCAGCCACAGGCAGAGTGAACAAACGGACTGATCAAACCAATCTTCTGCTTGTAATTCAGTGGCTTTCCCAAACTCAGCAGGTCTACAATCCTTGCTGGGAATGACCAGACCCCAACAGCCAGGTCCCTCCCTCTCCAGTTTCTGACTCTGACCACTCTCCTTTGGCAATCTAAGGTCATACCTTATCCACGGTCTTTCTCATTCCTGAGTCTAGCACTGTGGATGGTATCAAGGGGGCCCCATAAGCATGGTTATAGATCGAATCAACAGGTCTTTGCCTCTGCTTTTCCCTCTGCCTAAACTGTCCCTCCTTCCTCTTCTGGCTCTCTTCTGTTGTAGTCACCACTCAGACATCACTTCCTCCAGGAAGCCTTTCCTGACCATACCAATCCCATTATGACATGTGTCTTCAAAGCTCGTATCACTGATGATTGCTTAACTGTCTGCCCAACTAGACTGAAAGTTCCACAAGGGCAGAATGTGTCACTCACTCTGATGCCTCATTATACATATTATATGTTACTTATATAAATATTTATTAAATTATATGACTGTCTCACCAGCACTCACTCTGGAGACCTTCCTTGCTGGCTTGGAGCAGTAGCAGCCACACGAGAACACCCTGAGTGTCAAGCACTGCAGGCAGCCTCCAGGTAATGTCCAGCAAGAAACCAGGGCCCTCAGACCATGTGGTCCCACAACCACAAGGAAATGAATTCTGACAACAACCCGAGGGAGCAGATCCTCCCCAGTCGAGCCTCTAGATGAGAACCCAGCCCTGGCTGACACCTTGACTGCAGCCTGTGAGACCCTAAGCAGAGTACCCAGCTTAGCTGTGCCTGGCTCCTGACCCGTAGGGACTGTGAGATAATAAATATGTTGTCAGCTGCTGAGTGTAGCAACAGACACCTGACATAGTGCATGTGGTGTGTGAATGCATGCGTGGATGTACATGGTGCTGTTGGGAGTGGAGTGTGGGAAGAGGAGAGTTACCTGCACAGCCGCGTGGGTCTACACAGCCATGGCCTGAGAGCAGGCAGAAGGGGACAGCTTCCTCTAGGGGTGTATCAGGTAGGAGTCATTTGGTTGCCAGTAATAGAAACAAACCCAGGAACATTTATGCAATAAAAAAAAAAAAAACAAGAAAAGCAATTGACTGCAAGGATACAAGGCCAAGAAATGCAAAATGGCCTCTTGGACACAGAGTGGGAGCGGGGGGGCTTTGAAAACCGAGAGCACGCTCTCTGCCCGTCTCTGCTCTCTGCCTCTCTGCACGTCTGCTGACTTCTTCCTCTGCAGATTGGTTCTGTTTGCTGTGTAGAACCCATGGCGGCAGTAGACGGTCACCCACAGCTCCCAAGCAGTGCACTGGGAGAGACGGGCCCTGCCTGCCGGGGAAGCAGCTCCAGTGCCCGGCCCTTACACATTGATGCTGGTGCTGGCCGCTGTGGTGGCACCATGCGAGCCTGGCTGCAGGCTGGAGGATGGTTGGGGGATCGGTGCCCTGTGCCCTCCCCTCAGTTGGAGGCTTATGTGGTCTTGGTCACTGCTTGCCTTTTGGTAGCTCCAGAGGCAGTGGCTTCAACACACCAGCCTATCTTGCCTCCTTCTCCCCAGCTCCACCAACATCATAGTGGAAAAGTGGAAGCAACTGATTTAGAAGCGTCCTTGTCAGTGAGGTAATGCCCAGTCCGATGCAAGACCTGAGACTGTGAGTCCCAGAGACCGTGTGGGACCCCGGAGTGTAGAGATTATACTGCAGGATCTGGAAGAAGAGGGTGAAGGCTCTGGAATAGAGTAGGAAAATGGTGGGAGTAGACCACCGGGAGAGAAGCCAGAGGAGGGCTTAAGACCTTCAAACAGGAGCACTTGTGGGACTCACCGGGAGTGGGGAGCACAAGGAGCTGAAGCCCCGAGAGAGGAAGGGTCCCTCCACAGAGCCCCCAGGGAACCAGGGCCATCAAGACAGTTTAGGGATTAGTTCAGTCCAACTGCATCTGAACTCTTGGAATGACCATTGGGTAGAACCCAGCAAGGGGTAGTCGAAGCATCCAAGGGCCCACTCTGACCCTTTGCAGCCTCCAAAGTGCCAGATCGAGAGCAGCTCCTGCCAGAATGCCAGATGGGTGCTGATCTGCAGGTTGTGGTGAGAGCAGCAGGTCCCTGACTCTGGTGTGGTGGTGCAGGTAGGGGGGCAGGGCAGGGACAGAAGGTCTGAGTGCACAGGACTAGAGCTTGCTACGAGAAACTGTTGTGTAGAGAAGGGAAGGAAAGGATCTGAAGGGCAGAAAACCAGCAGCATCTTCCTAGAGACCAGTACCTTCCTGGATGGCCAGGGAGGGCCACCATGAGTGCAGATGACAGACTTCTCTACCTGTGATGGTGGGTAGGCTGAAAAGAGGCTCTGCCAGTGCAGTGCCAGGGACGGTGCTGAGCAATGTGGCAACTCCCCCAGCTGGAGGAATCTCGGGTCACCGGAATGAGAAGGAAAGAGGACGCAGGCACCACTCCAGGCCCTGCCTCTGGATGTGCCTCGGTGGCACAAATGCAATTCCAGCTCCAAGCACTCGCTGCTAAGCACCACACCACACCCCTCCATCCCCCGAAGACAAGAGGCAGTAGCTTCAGTTCGACACACATACAGAATAAAAGCATTTTCATTGTTCTGAAGATTGGAGCTGTCCGGGCAGGGAGATTGCTACAAACCATGGGGGAGTAAAACTGAATAACATTCTTAAAATAATGAGGGCGTGGTTTGCTGTATTTCAGAATCAGCAATAACAAACACAGGCAACATTCCGGTAGAATGTCGGCATGGACCTACTCCTCCTCCTCGGTGACACTGTGTCCCTGCTTCCTCCCGAGTGCAAGCTCTCAGGCATCATGGTGGAAGCATCTCCAAGGCACCCAACACTGAGGAGCAACTTGAAAAAACTTTGCTTTCTCTGTGGGGTTTGTATAGCTACAGGGGGTATGGAAAAATCACAGCACACGAGTGGTGTAAGGCAGAGGAGAGTGAGCCTTTAGCAGATGTAAATTTAAGACACAGGGGAAATGGGTTTACAGGAGCCCATTTTCAATGTAATTATGTGTAGGGAGTACTTTGGGGGCACAGGGAACTTCAGTGAAGAGGAAAATATAGCTTCCCTTTCCAAGTGAGGTTTAAGTCAGTTCATAGTGGAAGGAGGTCCAGTGTCTTCCGAGCAAGGGGTGGGTCACAGACACACCTAGCAGACAACTCTATCAGTGGAAGGCTCGGGGCAGCCAACTCTGGCAGTGTGTCCCTCCCTGTTCCCAAGAGAAATCTATCATAGGGAGAATCTATCATGGGAACAGCTGTCCAGACTGTCAGCCTTGCTTTGCTCCAATTCCCCATCCACCCGCCCTTCCCAAGAATTTCAATCCTGGGAAAGAGGTGCCTTGATTAGGCACGCAAGCATTCCCATCACGGGAAAAGGGGATTCCCATAGCAAGGAGTAGCTTGTGACAAGCACACTGCCCTATGGGGGCTGAATTACTGTGAGTCAGCCTCCCAGAGTCTAAGTATCTCCACATGGACACGAAAGGGGTGTCAGGACTGGTTAAGACCAAGAGCACAGCCTTAACCCTAGAACATCCGCAGAGGGACAGCCAGTCTAGGAGGTCTCTGGGGTACCTGGTGGCCTTTGTCACTACTGTGACCTTACTGTCTACTCTTTCAAATTCCTACAGTTAAATTAGACCCCCGAGGTGTCCCATCCATAATTCTATTCGTTAAGTGACAACATGCACGTGAGTGTACATACACACTCATACACATACCACAGGTGGCCTCCAAGAGTGATAAACTTTTCATATAAACCACAGAATATATTTAATTCAAATTAAACATGAAACTAGAATAATGTTCGATCTTTATCAAGTAGCCATTACATTGTTTTGTTTTGCTTTTTTTAAAAAAAGAACAGTACATTTCCTTCTACATTTTGCAATCTGACAAGGCACGAGTCACATCCAGTTTGATGAGGTGACAGATCCAGCAGTCACCATCAATGCACACAGTTTTGAGGGGCTGGGGGAGACACAGACCACATTCCATACAAAATGACTCTGCAGCAAGTCTGAAGGAGAGGAACCTCCTCCTGATATGTAAGAATGAAAGTCCAAGTAGCAGGAAGCAGGCGACTTACATAATTAATATATTTTATTAAATAGATAGTTGGCGCTTTGCTTCTCACCCATTCCAAATTGCTGTTGGTGTTGGCGGCATTAACAGCAGCAACAAAAGCTACACACGGCTCAGCAGCAAGGCTCTTTCCACTCCAGGTATTTCTTTGTTTTTGAATTTTTGGCATGATTTCTTTTCCTTGTGAAGAAAGCAAACTTCTTCAAGACACAGGTCATTCAGCTTTAAGTGTCGGCCCCATGTTCTCCTTGGGCTGTGCAGAAGGCTGAGTCTTGCAGAACAAGCCTTTCTTTGTTCCTCCACTGAAAGCTGCTCACTGTTTGGTCTGCAAAGGTGAGTTTGGAAGGGGTCAAGGGCAGGGAGGTGGCTTTCTTCACAGGGCGGTACTTTCTGTGTCATTGTCTATGTCCAGCAGAACACGGCTGGCCAGGTCTTTGCTTGCCGAGTCTGAGTGCATTTCAGGAAAGATGCTGCGAAGCGGTTCTGAAACCCTGGAATTGGTGTCTGGACAAAAACACGAGGAGACAGGGTATCAGTCAGTGTAATGCCCGAGAGACCACCCGAGGGCGCTCCAAAAAGGAGAGGGGCTGCGAGTTTCAGGGCTGGCCCATGCACACGCACACAGTCCCTTACCAGAGGCCTCATCAGCCCTGAGAAGTTGAGTCAAGCCTTTGAGACCCCAGAGGCGGCCACGTGGCACAGCCACGCCTCCGGGCTCTAGCAGCCCCTTCTGTGGGCCCAGGCAGTCCTCAGAGATGCAGTCCTCGAAGGACCTGCTTGCTCTGACTGAGGAAAGGAAACTTGCCTCATGCACTAACTGAACCCTCCTGACCACAATGGGCTGCAGGAACAGATGGGCTGCACTGGAAAGCATGCTCTCCTCTGCAGCTGGCAGGCTTTCCTCCTGTTACTAACACTATGCTCTCAACCTCAGCACTCGCAACACCTCGGGCTGAGTCATTCTGTGATATGGGAGCTGTCCTGTGCACTGCAGGATGCTGAGCAGCGTCCCTGGCCCCTACCCACCAGATGCCAGCGGCACACAGTGTGACAACCAAAAATGTCTCCAGACACTGCCAAGTAAGTGTTCTCTGGGGGGCACAATCAACTGCAGTTGACAACCACTAAGGTAGACCATCATATCTCCTACAGATAATAATTTTCTCTTCTCTTTCTAATACTGATACCTCTAATCCTCTTTTCTACATGCCAGACTCTGTTATCCCTGCTGCAGGTACAACAGTGAACCAGACAGAACAGTCTGAACGAAACTGATGATCAAGTCAGGGAGCCAGGTCCTAATCGAGTCAGAAGGGCTGGTTTTTCTAGTGCAAAGGCACTTCAAAACGTTCGTGGGAAAATAGAATTAAAAGATAATATTTAATTTTCCATGAACCTTTGAAGACGCTGCATAGATGTGGGCTTTAGCAAATTATGAGGGCCTTGTGAGATAGTTTAGGGCTTGGGTAAGAGAGAAGGGAAATGTTCAGGGCCGGCCCGGTGGCGCACTGGATAAGTGCGCCGCTTGGGAAGCGCGGCGGCGCTCCCGCCCGAGGGTTCGGATCCCACATACAGACCGGTTCCCGCTCGCTGGCTGAGCGAGGCGCGGGAGCAACACCGAGGGTTGCAGTCCCGTTGCCGGTCCCCGGTCCGGTACGGGGGCAACACTGAGGGTTGCAATCCGTTGCCGGACACGGAAAAAGAGAAAAGACAAAAAAAAAAAAAAGAAGGGAAATGTTCAGGTTTGCTGCAGTTTTACTTTGCCAGGTAAGAGCTCGTCTCGGTAGGGGTAGGAGGAACTAGAGCGGAGGGTGGGTTTACTAGGGCGTTTCCCAGTTACACTGAGGAGCTGCTTTCCTGTACTTGTGTGGTGCAAAGTTACATCACATCTGACCTCTCTGGGAGCTAGTTCTGACAGTCCTGTTTCGCTTGCTCCTTGTCAATGTGCTTCTCGGAGGATGACTGCTGTGAGCCCGGTTCCTGTCCCCACAGTTGAGCTACCAGATCTGTTTACTCTCTGGGGCATCCCTTTCCTCACAGTGGCTCCTGGGTTGGCGGACCTGTCCCTCAAAGTTTCTTTTCCTATGTCCCACGACTCAGAGAAATTTCTAGATTTATGGAGGTGTCAAGGTGTCAAAGAGTTCAGCTGCTAAATATCATTTCAGACAATTCAGTTCTTACAACAACTGTAAAACCAACTGAATTGTGCTGGAAGGCACCATCCAGTGGTGCAGTCAAAGGTGGTCTGTGTGCACCATAGAGGATGTCTCGGCTTAGTCCTCAGCAGAATAGGAGTCGACAAGAGCAGGGACTGCGTCTGTCTTGTTTACAGTGTATCCCCGGGGCCTAGAATACTGACTGTCAAGTGGCAGATGCTCAATAAATTTTGTGGCTGGCCTTGGATGTCTGGATGGATGGACGGATGAATGAATAGCCATCCTTCTCAAAGGCAACACTGGTACAAAAAAATCACTGCAAATTCAATCCCCTCCCCATTATCCTAACCCAACAAACATGGTGCTACCAGCCAGTAGCACCAAAGAGCTATTGTCTCTTCTTAGCCCAAAGAGCTTACAAGAAACTATGGAGCAGACATGACCTGGTGGGGACGCATGACGCGAAGGTACTGTGCATACTCTTACATTACTACTTGCTAATATCTGCATTTACGTGCAAGCGAACACCTATTAGCCATGAACAACGCCCAGAGGACAAACGTGCTATCTTTCTCTTTTCCTCATATGTCACAAATAAGTAATTTCAATTTATGATGAACACACGCTAACTGTATATTCAGGGGGAAAAATGTGTGGTTAGGGCATAAGAGAAATTCCTTTACTCTGCCTGCTACCTGCCCCATCTGGTTTCCCCAGCCCTTCTCTCGTTTTCGCATGAATCATTTCATGAAAGGAAACAATGAATCTTTCTACACACAAAATGTAATCAGAATTACGGAGATGTGTGAGGAGCCAGTTTTCAGAAAGACTGAGCTTCATTGCAACAGCTGCTAACATTACTGAGCATGACTGCCTCCTAGAGACTGCCGAGTGCTCCACACATCACCACGTCCTCTCCCTGAACCCCACGTGCTCCACCGCAGAGACGACATAGAGAAAATCAGAGAGGCTCTAGTCCTCGTCCAAGGTGGCACACACAGCCCGTCCTGGGCAGAAAGGATCCAAGCTAGATTGGCTGGACTCTGGTTCTTAACCAGCATAATGTTGTCCCTCCTCCACAAAGGAGTTGTGGCATCCTCGGGTGAGGGTCTTTAGAGGGAACACATCATCTGAGGAGATAACGGTTTGAGTCTGAAACACTCTGGCTCATTGTAGCAAACAGGAGAAAAAGGTTGTTTTACAAAGATACCTGCAAGAACCTGGTTATATTTTATTTTTTTGAACACTTCTAAACCTCTCTGGCTATAAACTTATATATTATCCCCATTCCAACAAGGGCTGCTCTTTGAGCATACTGCTTGGAGTTAAGTTCATGTGACAGGTATTATATTAAAAAGAAACAAACAAAAAGCAGAAGAGAGACCCCCCAGAAACCAGTCTTGGCCCTACGGCAGAACGGTGCATCGTGGATTTGGAGCTCTGAAAAATGTAACCCGGGTTCCTGAACTGAACATCTTTATCCAGGAAGCAGGCCCTCCTGGGGCCAGAACTGGTATTCTACAGTTTAGAGTATGGTTCTAGAAGGTCACTTCAACAATTCTCAATATGTACTTTCAAAAAGCACATATTCAGAATCGGACCCTTCAAAAAGTCTAACGTATTCTGATAGTCACTTTGACAAGGAACAGATCCAAATACACCCTTGAAATTAAGTGCTTCAGGCACAACTGCAGGGTGAAAAAACTCTGTCTCCCCACCACGTACTCCTCATCAGTTTTCTAAAGCTATGAGAGACCTTCTAATCTATGAGAGACTTTGAGTCAACTTTTTATTATCCTAGTCAAAGGAGAGATTCTGGCTGTTTCTCTTGACATGATTCTAGTATCTATTTATTAAAAATGAACTGCAAGTAGAAGCCACTTAAAATGTCTAACTATGAGTAATAACACATCTCCCTGATGAAACATTATCAGTCATTGAAAAAGATGGTTAAAGAAACTACATCATAAGATGAGAAACAGCATATGCAATGAAGTAAAATAAAAATGCAGGATCAAAATCAGTACATGTCAAATAACTTTACGCACCTCCTCATCTTTTAGAAAAATAAAACTAGAAAAATGATAGCAAGATAGCAATCTCTAAATAGAAGTTCAATTGTGGAACTATGGTTGATTTCTCTTATTGCTATTTCTCAAATTTTCTTTAATATCCATGCTTATTTTCAAAAATGCATTTCTTTGATGACATAAAGAGAGTTAGATTTAAAAAGAGAACAGTACAACAATCAGCAAAGTATCCAGTTTTATTACTACTATGAGAGTGACCTGGTCTAACCATTGCATGGCAGACCAATGACTCATGGGTATTCTTAGGGCTCACTAAATGAAGAAATATCTCCTCTTCCAGAGCATTGTCTTTTTAACCCATAAGGGAACTAATACTAGGAAAACCAAGCAGTGTGTGAGAGCCAAAGCATGGACCCCCCAGGCCACGCCCCTGACCGCCTTCCAGTTTCTGGTCCTGAAGGCACAGTCTGGGCATGGTCTGGGCATGTGAGTTGTTAACATGATGAAGAATGAATCGAATATATAACTGATTAGAACTATTTTCTTCTAAATAAAAATGATAATAAATAGCTACCATTCACTTAGACCCACTGTGCAATGAAAACTGAAGTAGGTGTTTTTCTTACTTATTTAATCCCTTCAATACTTCTGACAGACATCACCATTTTATAGATCAAATAGGTTGGGCTTGCCGGCTGGTACTCAGAGAGCTGAAATTCTAACTCAGGAAGGCCTGATTCTACGGTGTCTGTTCTTTCTTCTACATCTCAAGCCTGCCTGATATAGTCAAGAACGGAAATTAAAGAAGTAACAAGGCTAGCCCTGTGTCCCCTGCTACACCTCTAGGAACACTCTTAGTACTCAGAATATTTGACAGCAAGCATGAACAAAGCCAGTCCTCCTGTAGTGCATGCACTATTAGTGGGGATGCAAGCAGGCAGGGTTAGGGTGACTGGTTAGTAACAGGCATGAGTGCACAAATATGATCACAAAGTAGCAAAAATGCTTTGGCCAATCAGGTGCCTTTTCCTTACCATTAAATATTCCAATTTCAGTTCTTACAGAATATAGCAGGTCATACATCTAAATTATTTAATAAAATGTTTAAATTAGAATAATCTTTGCTAAAATCTATTACTTTAAAAACAACAAGATGTAAACTCTTTCACTTGGGAAGTTAAAACCCTACTGCTTTCTAGAGTCACAATTAAGAGGAGACTCAAAATGACACCAGAATCCCTCCATTCTCCCGTGCTGGTGCTGAGCTGCCACAAGTTGGCTGCCAAACCTGCCCGGCAGCAGTCATATCCCCCAAAAGGTTTTCTTAATCCCACGGGACTTAATCCAACTCTTTGAGATTAAGTGCTCTAAATGAACAACCTGTATTCAAGAATTTATCTGTCTCAAGTTTTCCAAGTGAAAAAGTGTCACAATAAAGGACTGTCCCGTCCAACAAAGTTATAGTTTTTTCTTTTTGAAAACCCAATGGCCATATCCATGAATGGTTAATAGTAGCATGATCACCACTAGCAGACTCATAACTTCTAAATGGTGACACTGTGTGTACTTTACAATGGCAGTCTAGGGGATATTAGGATATTAAAGGTTAATTCTGTAATACAAGGACAACTGTGGTGACCTGAAATTTCTTGAGTTAAGGGAATTTATAACACAGGTTGGTTTTTAAACATTTAGCTGATATCCTAAGGAAAAGTATTTTTAATGTAAAATTTCACTTATCTAATAATTATAAAGTACAGTGCATTACAGTGTTGTAACAGATCAATAAAGTAACCTTCTGGAATAAATACACCCCAGCTAACAGTGGTATTAAAGAACAGTCATAATTCTGGTTTGTAGTCTTTCATCTAAGTAACAGGAAAGATTTGTGAATAAAATTTTGATGTGTCACAAGTGTTAAAGGCTCAGCCTTGAGTAGGGTTTAGACACTTTACTCTGTGACTTCCACACCCAACCAGGAACCCCCAGACTTTTGGGTTAATCACCAAGGAGTCAGGAAGGTGGAATCACGCCTGTGCTTTTTCTGTTTTAAAGGCTGCACTCTGATTTTCTCCTTCTGGTTTCTACAGAAAGTCTTACTCAGACTGAAGTTGTGAACACTCAGGCTAAGTAGCCCACAAAAGGCTTAGAGCTCAGATCAGCTGATTAAAGCCGCTGTGCACATAATGAAAGCCTTATGCTGTCCAAGTGAGGACCCAAAGGCAGATTCAAATGAGTCTCACAGCGTTTTTTTAAAAAAGCTCATATGGCTTAAGGAAGCAGAATGGAAGCATGCTAGAATGCAAAGGAATTTAAAGGAATTCAGTAGGGTCTTTGGGGGAAGATTTATTTATTTATTTGTTTGTTTATTTATTTATTTATTTATTGGGTCTTGAGAATTTCAAACACCAAATTAAGAAGCTCCATGCAGTTAACTTGCACTTAAGATAAAAATTAAAAATTAAAGCTCAAGACAGAAGGGACACAATTTTCTGTGCCAACTGCACCCGAATCCTCTTTGGATGGATGCTGATGAGCCAATCAATGACAGGTGAATCATGCTGAGAAGAGTAGAATGCTGCAAAAGGCTTACCAAAAAGAAAGAAGATATTCTTAGTATGTATGTTATCTGAGTGGCTTGAACTCGGACTCTCAATCTACTGCTACTACCTCTTGAACTGGGGGCATTGCAGCTCAAAGTGCTTCTGATAAAAACAACAGGAATGTCTACCCGCTACAGAAGGGATGGCCACTGCCATGGCACAGGGCCCAATGGCCACTCCTGAGCACAAGGTCAAAAGCACATATGCACAACATGGCTGAGCAGGAGCATTTGGAGCTGCGGTGCAAGCTGCTTGGGGGGTTACAGACCTTAGTCCTGGAAACCTTCCCCACCTGAGAGGGCACTAGGAAGGGCATCTAGTGGGAAACAAACAAACAAACAAACAAACCAATGTGGCTTTGCTGTTTTCAAAATAAAAGCTCTGGGGTCATCAGAAAAAAGTTATTAACCATTTATCATATGTGCAAATTATGAGTTATATTCTTGGAAAAAAAGGTTACTAAAAGATATTTTCTATAGTTAGTCAGTCCTTACTTATCACTTGGGGTATCAGTTTTGAGTGCACCCTTGGCTCACTTTCAGCTGAGAAGTCACTCAGTATGGCTGGAGAGCCCAGGGCTTTATTTCAGCTTCTCTAGAAATGCTTCCACTTAGAACAATTTAAAGAAATGACTCAAGGCTCCTAATTACCTTTTTTAAAAAACACATTGAAGAAAAATCTATCCATCTTGAAATTAAATAGTAAATTAGAGCACTTGGGATGAAGATTTCTTTTAGATCATAATTAAATAAAATAGCCATGCTCTAGATGGCTTATAAAAAATATCCCATTAGGGAGTCCACAATAATCTGTACCATGGCCACCACTCCAAATCAGGTTTCCACTGGGACTACAGGAAAACCTTGATTCATCCTTCCCAAGCTAGCAGAGACCAGCACTGTGATATGATCCTGTCATGAGATCTCCCTTCCTAGAGCATCTAATTTGGCATAAATCATATTTTTTAAAGTTATCCCTGAAATTCTTCACTTACTATAAACATTTTTACTATTAGAAGGAAAATAAGCCCTTTAATGAGGAATTCACTAAGAAATGAATTCCATGCTCATGTTACACAATACCCTCCACTTGGACTTAAAGTTATTATACTTAGAAAAATATAAATGTAGTAGGTCTTAAACATAACGAAAATATAAATCAGGGGTGGACAAATTTAAAGGGCCAAGTAGTAATTATTTTTGGGCCATATGAGCTCTGCCAGGACTACTCAACTTGGCTGTTCTAGCACAAAAGCAGCCGCAGACAATATGAACAGGCAGGGCTGCATTCCATTACAACTTTAATTATACGAGCTGGCTACGGGCTAGGTTGGGCCTGCAGCTGTAAATCAAAGCCTATATGAAGGGGAGTACCCAATTTCCTACTTACCTGTTACTATTTTGGAGGCTGTCGGTGCTGTGCTGGTGAGGTTGCCATCCGTGGCTGGGTGGGCACCAGGAGGATGAGGGGGCGGGGGCACGCTGGGTCGGTTCCTCGGCTTTGGGACTGGTCTCGGTCTTGGTAAGGTTCCAGCATGTGGCTGCACAGTCTCAGGGTTACTTGCCACCACGGTCTGAGAAGCTGGCAGGCCAGGGTGCTGTCTTCCTAGAGGTGGGGTACTGGGGGGCGTTGGAGTTTGGGGCGGGGTGTGAGGTGGCTGCTCAAGTCCGTGCTCACTGGGCAACGCCACAGGAGTGGGAGGGCCCTGGCTACTTGGTTTGGTGTGTGTCAGTGGCATGGCTTGGGTTGGGGGCTGTGGCGGCGGGTGACTGGGAGCTTGTATTGGAGGCAGGCTGCTGGAGTACCTCCGGGGTGCAGAGAGCTGGGAGGTGGTGGAGGATGGGCCTGGAGCCTGGCCCGCATGCTGGGTGGGAGGAGAAGGACTTCGGGTGGACGGCTTTGGGGACAGACTGGGTGGATGCTGAGATGTTCCTGGAGAACTCTGGCCCCCAGGATGGCCAGGAGGTGGGTTTCCTGGTTTCGGGGGAGCTGGAGCAGGTTTTTTAACAGCTGTACAAAGGGGGAAAACAACTTTCAGTAAGAACAGCAAAGTGACAGCCAATGCTCCTTTAGCCAGGGGACCAAGGTTAGCCTCATCAGTAACAAGCTTCACTGACATCATGTATCCCTGGTGGGATGTGGTCGTGAAGGCACCTCCTTCTGTGTCTCCCTCCCTAAAACCGGTAGCCCCAGCCCAACATTAGAAGAACATCTGACAAATGCAAATTGAGGGACTTTCTTCAAAATGCCTGGCCAGTACTCCCCAAACTGTCAAAGCCATGAAAAACCAAGGGAAGACTGAGAAACTGCCACCGACCAGAGGAGACTAAAGAGATAAGATGACTAAATGCAATGTGGCCTCCAGATGGGATCCAGGAACAGAAAATGGAAACTAGTAGAAAAACTAGAGAAATCTGAACAAAACATGGAGTTTAGCTAATGCTAACCATGTTGGTTTCTCAGCTCTGATAAATGTGTCTTGGTGATATACTAACAATAGGGAAAACTGGGTAAAGGGTATATGGCAACTGTAAGGACAGTCATGCATCGCTGAGAAATGTGTCGTCGGGCGATTTCGTTGTCATGTGAACATCATAGAGTACTAAATACAAACCTAGACTGTACAGCCTAATACACACCTAGGCTATACGGTGTAGTTGATGGTTCCTAGGCTACAAACCTGTACAGCATGTTACTGTACTGAATACTGCAGGCAATCATAACACTACAGTGAGCATTTGTCTAGCTGAACATACCTAAACGTAAAAAAAGTAAAGTGAAAATATAGTACTGAAATCTAATGGGATCACCATCGTATATGTGTATTGTCGTTGACCAAAATGTCACATTATGCAGTGGAGAGACTGTATTATCTCTGCAACTTTTCTGTAAATCTAAAATTATTCTAAGATTAAAAGTCTATTTTAAACTATTAAGTATATTAAACACATACAGGCCTTTAAAGACTTGTCATTTTAAAAGTTCAATAAGAAGAAAACTCAGCTAACAGAGGCAGCCCCACCAACACTGAAATGCTGCTGTAAGCCCACTAGCAGCCCACCTGCCAGGGCTTCTCTCACATAACCTGAGAGAGGAAGAAGAGCTACGGGGGACACCCCCAAGACGACTGGGCCACCTGCACATACCATGGCCCTTCTGCCACAAGCCACGTTCTCTAGAGAATTTTTTTTTTTAATGACAAAAATTCTATGAATTCCAGAATCATTTGAGTTAATAGATATATTCTAGATAAATGTACAAATCTGGAAGAGTTACATTAGAATTATTTCCCTATAGAGAGCTGAATCACAACACTCTCCTCCCTATACCTGCTGAGGTCAGGGCTGGGAATTTGGTGCTGAGGAGTGCAAGAGGGAGAACAACAGATCTGGAGACCTGGTCTTCGGCTGGGCGGGGTGGGTAGAAAGGAGAGACTTTAGTATTTCTCAAATTCTGCTGAGATTCTATTGATCTCCAAAGAAAGGAGAAGGAAATGAAGGAGAGAAATGACATAGCATTCACCAAATGCATCACCAGGACCAAGTCAGGCCCTTGCTATAAATTATCTTACTGAAGTCTCAAAAGCTCACTGCAGGATGGGCATCGTTATGCCCATTTCACAGTGGAGAAAACCGAGGCTCAGAGAGCACACTGTCTTATAAAAGGTTATACAGCTAGTAAGTGGCAGAATAGAGACTCACAACTATGTCATGTGGACTCCCTGGATCCTTTTTCAAACTTCCTCCTTCCTACACTGCCTGGCTCCATTCACAGGGCTCAGAATTCAGAATTGACAGGGCAAAGTCTGCTGTGCTTTGCTGGCCTAGAACTTTCGACCCTGGATCTCACAAGACCTTTTCCCACAGAAACAACCAACCAGCTAACAAAGGAAGGGATCGCTGGAATATTAGCCATACGCTGGTTGCAATAAACAGCTTTGGAAAAAAATGTCTACTTTTCTGCTCTAAGCTCTATTAGCTGTAAATTCATACTGAATAAGAGACCATACCTGACATTTAAGGGTACAGAGAGAATTAGGAGAGGAAACACGAGAGCAGTGTGACAGGGCGACAGGGCCCAAGTCCCAGGCTGAGCAGGGCTGGGAGGAAGGAAGGTCTGTCCACAATCACCTGAGAAGGTGCTGGGAAAGAAAGAATCCAACTGCTGCTGCGAGGATGCCTGAGATCTGTGATTTCAGGAAGCAGGAAAGACTCCTAACGTGGCTTGGAAGAAGAGTCTCCGGCTGAAATCAGAGTTCTACCTGCAACCTAGGTAGAGAAGACCACTTCCCTCAAGGATCAGCTGGGATACAGAGGAGAGAATGGCCTTACGAAGGGGAGAGCAGGGCCCTGTAGACAGGCAGTGCACCCGAATTTACCTCTGCCTGTAATCTGTAGAAATCCCACTGACATCTGTGTAGTGCTTTATAAGCAGAGATTCCATAACAGACATACCGAATTTCATCCTCACAATCCCCTTAGGGAGGCATTTTTATGTCTACTATACACGTGTAGGAATTAAGTTAGAAAAGGTCAAACGAACGGCCTTTAGCCAGTCACGTGACTTTCGGTTAAAGCTAGAACTCAAACATTTGCATCCAGAGCCTTTCCCCTTTGTCGCAACTGTTTGCCATGGTGACTCCCATTATGAGTGGCATGCCTGTTGTCCAGTTCTCCTTGATCCTCCCTTCCTGTGGCACCACCACCCCCTAGGGGGCCTCATCACTTGCAGGTGTTCCTGCAACAGCCAGTCTGGCTGCCACCAACACAACTGAACCTGCTGACGACACTGCTGTGGACGCTGTTCCACCCTACCTAGACCAGCCCCACTGCTGCACCCTGCTGTGCCAGCACCCCCAGCTTTGCAGGCCCTGTCTTTGTCTTTCTGAGCTCTCGCTAGAGCTTGGCGTGCCCCTTGCAGCCAGTCAGGCCAACGTCGCTCCTATTCCCTGTTACAGAGCAGTTTCCAGAGACATGTTCACACGTGAGAATTCAATGACAGGAGCACCACCAAAAAGAGAAGGAGACGGGGTCCCACATGGTGAGTGAGCAGAGGTGGGGCCACCAGCTGCTGTCCCCTGGGCCGGCATAGCCTGCACACTTCTCTGTGGGTGAGCATCTCCCATGCAGGCCAGGATTCTCACTGAACACACAGTTGTGCTTTGTTTTTTGTGATTTTTTGTATAGCACTGCCTCTAAACCAAAGTCAACAACTGAAGAACTGAGCTCTGGTAAGGGAGAAAACTTAGTTTTACTGGGTTTATTGAGCCTCCAATGGGGACACCCTCACAGAGTGCTCACGCCTGACTTCTGTCACCTATCCTTCTAAGGTCCTGACCCTGGAGTAAGAGATTCGACTGTCCTGGACTACGCTGTCACTAGTTTCTGCTTCTGGGGGAATCTCCTCTCACTTCTCTATCAAACTGCCTGTCCCTGTAAGGGCCAGCCCACACAGCGCCTTCATTCCTGAGCACTCGTGTCAGCACCCTGTGCGATACTGTTGCACACTTGTTACATGTAGGGCCTTAGAATCTTTTCTCTAAAGATTATCATGTCTATACCTGAATCATTCCAACTAACTGGAGGTTTCTCAATGGTCAAACTGTTATTTATTCTATTTCCCCAGTCCTGGTTACAGAGAAGGTGATAAAAAGAACATGGACTCAGAGATCTGTTCTTTACTACATGCAAAATACACTTGCTATAATAAATTCACTGTTTCTTGAGCTGCCAAAAACTACAAGTCGCTTTGCTGTGAGAATCATCCGTATCCCAAAAAATGCAGTTAGGAGTTACGATTAGGGCACCCTGGTTCACATGGAATTTAACTGGCTCTGGAAACATCTTTACTGAATCATGTCATTTTCTAGATCATGGTTTCTCAATCTTGGCGCTACTGACATTTTGGATACTGTCAATAACTCTGTGCTGCGAGGGCTGTCCTGTGCATTGTAGGGTGTTTACCAGCATCCCTGGCCTCTACCCACTAGATGTCAATAGCACCCCTCTCCCCATTTGTGACAACTAAAAGTGTCTCCAGACACTACCAAATGTTCTGGGGTGGGGGAGCAAAAACACCTCCAGTTTTTCTAGACCTAAGAGGCTCCCAGACACACAAATATTTATTGAGGGTCCACTCTGTGACAGGCACAGTACAAGGGCCAGGAATACTGAGACAGGTAAGATCCCAGCTCACTAAGAGCTACTTCTGGAGACTGGCACTAAACTACAAAATAAATTTAAAAATTTTAGATCCTGAAAATAGAAGGAAACACAAGAACACGATAGGGATGACATGTACGTACGATGGGGATGAGGGATGCGGGGGGGTCACAGAGGAAGTGACCTTTGAGCTGAGACCTGAATGATGAGAAGGAATTGTGTGAAGACATGAGACAGAATGTTCTGGAAAAGAAAACAATTGCAGAAGCCCTAAGAAGGGAATTAATTTAGTGCATCCAAGGCATAGAGAACAGAGAGTGGCAAGAGAGGTAGAGACAGAAGGAGCAAGACTCAGAGACAGGCCCCAGCCAGACCATGAAGAGCCCAAGGTGGGAGGGGAAGCCATCGGAGAGGTTCGATCAGGAGCTGTCATGATCTGCTTTGTGTTTTAAAGCAGTTCCCTGCTGCTGGGTGGAGGACGCCAGGGGAGATGGGTGGGAGCAGTTCAGGTTATGTGAATCAGTACCCAGAAAGCTCTGACCTCAACACAGAGGGTACACTGGCTCCCAGATCCGCAAGGCCTGGGATGTACAGAGGCTGTGGTCATTCCTAAACAGAGTAAGGACTTGGAACACAGATTCTTGGAAAACTGGGAGTGTTTCTGGAGAAATAACCTTTTATTTGTTAAGCTTTGTAGCTTCTAAGGGAAAACATATTCTTATACATGTCTGTTTTTCTGCTCTCTATTTTTTCATTTTTCTTCAATGATTTTTGTCTTTAATGAGATTTCATCCTGCTTGCCATTTTATAACAGACATGGGAAAGATCTGTCCAAATGCCTCACAGCCTGAGTCCTTGCACTAACTCAAGGTCTGCACATCCTTTCCCAAGGGCAAGGAGTGAAGTTGGTTACTTACCTCGGCGCACAGTATGTGGACTGGGGCCAGCGGTGTTGTGAGCAAGGCCAACAGAGAGCTGATGAGAGGTGGCAGCTGCCTGGGCCTGGTTTTGGCCAGTGGTCACCTGACTGCTGGCTTTCCCCGGTGCAGGTACTGCTGCAGATACAGTGTCCTTGGGTTTTGGAGCACTAAAGGGAGTAAAAGTCAAGTTAGATGTCAGACATGCTCAGCTAGAAAAGCTAAACATACTCTGGGCTGGCCCGGTGGCGCATTGGAGAGTGCGCCACTTGGGAGCGCGGCGGCGCTCCTGCCGAGGGTTCGGATCCCATGTGGAGACTGGTTCCCGCTCACTGGCTGAGCGCGGTGCGGGCGCAACACCGAGGGTTGCGATCCCGTTACCGGTCAGTAAAAAAGACAAAAAGAAAAAAAATAAATAAATATAAAAAAAAAAAAGAAAAAGAAAAGCTAAACATACTCTAAAATATGAGATTTTCAAGCAGAGTTTTCACCTCAGTTGGCAAGGAGATGATCTGAAATTTTAAATATTTCATATTGGGCCTACAAAGCTAACGTGTTCTTGGCTCCACACAATACTACATATTTTACGAGATTCATTGCATCTGACTTGGCCTCCAATTACTCTGCCACTGAAATATTATGATAGAGACCATTTCAAACAACCAGTAAGACATTTAAAGTTCTACTTTGCTTGTACTTAAATTGGACATTACAAAACACAAAAGGGCTTTTGAATTTAACACATACACTGTAAAAAAAACTAAGCAAAAACATGGGAAAATAATATTCTAAATTATAAAATGCTCAATTATTATCAATAATCTGGACTTAAAGAGAAACTCTGAGAGGCTAACTGATTACTCAAAGTCCAGAGTTGGTAGCAGCAGGGGAGAGATCACAACTCAGATTTCCTACTTCTTGGCCCAGAACTTTTTACACCATATGTTACAGCTACACTTTGTCAAGGTCACCAAAGAGTGGATGCCATTACTGAAATGTACACAAAACTATCTACAGAATGTAAAGAACAAAGAGCACACTGATGACTGACTTTCCATTTCTCCTTCTGCCAGGAAGACTAATTATTGTCTTAAATAATACATTCAGCCTTCATTAAATGAATTGATCATCACCAGAAAATGAAAATGTGTGAATTGGCTTATACCTTTTTTTCTCAAACGAAAAAGTTTTAACTCAAACACACACAGGTACAAGGCGGCTGTTAATGACAGGCCAATATGGAGCCTATGACATACACATGAAGCCCTGTGAAGTTTGAAGCCTTATTTTTCTTAACTGAAAAGTGAACTTCCCCAAAGTAGGAGAGTAAGAAGCAATTCAAGAATGCACGATGCATTCAGAGTTCAGCTAGGATGACTGAACAAGATTCCTATCTCACAAGCAACTGCACACACCTCGGGGCCCTCCCGACCACCACAAATGAGGTGAAGTGAGGAAGTTCTCCTAAGGCAAGTTCATCTCTCTGCACTGGATAAACAGGCCATCCTAGTTTTATGCACATTTATTTTACTTCACAGATGACCATTTAGTGCTTTGTAGAGGGCCAAAGGAGAGCAAATAAAGATGGCAATTTTAGCACACACAGGGCTTGCCTGTTATATAACAGCTGCCGGTTCTGAATCACAAGCGATAGCACCTAAAGTGGACTCTGGTGGCCATCTGCCTGGATCAATGTGGAAAACTGAGTTAGTGCAAATTAAATAAAAATCTCAAGTTCAAAGGCACCTTTTCTTAAAGTTGCTATACATTTGCAGCCCTCTGCAGGTGGCTTACCAAAAGCTTAAGCAACCAGAAGAGCCTTTTAGAAAAATCTACCATCTTATTTTCTACCCCGTACTGGTGTGTCAACTCCCCTGCAAGACTGAAAGCTGGGAGTCGGGGGTGGGGGGTTTCAGAGGGTGGAGTCTTAGTGCCTGGCACAAATCAGTTACTCAGTAAATCTGTTTGCTTGATGAATGAGTGAGTGAGTGAGTGAAGGAATGCCAGGAACACTATCATTTAACTTGCTACATTCAGATGCTTGTTAGCAGCACACTGGATGACAGCAGGCACATGGTACAGGAAAACTGGCAGCACACACCAAACATGTAAAAGAGGTTTATCATACTGCTGGACATCTGCTGGGTCCAAAGCAGGCTGGCAAAGAAAGCAAACAAATGTTGCTTTCTTTTGAAAACAGGAAAGGAAGCAAGCAATTTGCCGTCTTTTCTCCCATCCTTTGCCATCAGGAGGAGTGAAAGAAAATGGGGTTCACTCCATGCCAGAGCAATTCTTTGGGTGTGGATGCCATTCCCAAAGGCCACGACCTGCAAGAAAGCTGGGGCATCCAGCCTTTACTGGCAGCAGAATTCAGCTTCCTTACCTGCTGTCACCGGGGCTCGGCCCCTGCTCCATTATGCCCGCAGAGGAGGGGACAGTCCCACCCCCTGAGCTGCTTTCAGCCCTAGAGCTCTGGAGAGGGAGCTCTGGGCCCGCTGGAGCCAAGCTGCTGCCATCTGTGGGCGGAAGTGGCGGCTGGAAAGCGGGTGATATGTGCTTTCTATTTAGAGTGCCACCCCGCCGGTGGGCCTGGAAGTCCATAAGCTTCACACCAAAGCTACACAGAGAGAAGAAACAGTCAACACACCACGCGAGCCGACTACTGAGACAGAAGCCCATTGGTCCACAGAGCCCATGTGCTCAAACCACACATGGGGACAGCCACCCAAGTTGCCCAGCATGCAGAGAAGCAGCAAGGACTGGATTCACAGTCATCCCTATTACCAAGGCAAGCAATTCAACTTGGCTTTACATCTGAGCAAAGCCAGCAGCCCTGGTACCAATCAACATTCTTGATCAATTTGGGTGTGAACAGCTGAAAGCAAACAGACAGGCCTCTTCTCAAGTGACATCTTATTAATGTGTTTATTTCCATACTACCTAATTCCCATCTCAGATCTGTGTGTTTGGGGAATGAGGCCAAAACCGAGTCTGGAAGGCCTACGAGTGGTGATGTAAGGTCAGCACAGCACATGCCTCTGAATTAAGATGAGGTGTGGAAACATCCATCCTATGTGCATGTGCAAAGAAGACATCAGAAAGATACACGTGACTGAAAAATGAGTTGCTTTGGGAAGGGGGTGGGGCTGCAGAATAGGGTAGAAGGAATAGTCACTTTTCACTTAAGCCCATTGGTATATGAACTTGAAAACATTTTAGTTCAAAAAATAAAAAGATACATGGCTCTCTGAGCTTCTGTTTACTGGGTCAGCTGGCAGGGAGATTCCACCCAGGCTGATAACTACGAATTGTCTGTCATGTGCCAAGCAGACTCATAGTACTGCATGAGTCAAAATTTAGAACTCAAAATACATAAATGCTAATTTTGTTGTGGTTGGAATTTATCATCAGGAACAGCACTGAATGTCTGAATGAGGGTTTGACTAAGTAAAACTTCTGCACAAAGTAAATGTGGATTTCAGAATGGCAGATTAGGAAAGTATAGCACTTTGCTATGGGTAAAAAAACCCCAAACAAAGCAAAACAACAACAAAATACCTCACTATGAGATTGAGCAATTAAATAAGAGCTTGCTATTTAACTTTAATGTAAAACTACTTCCAGCAATAGTATTTACACATATGCAAGAAAAGTGCATTACTTCATACAGGCCCCTAAACTAGCATGACTGCGGGATACAGGGGCATTTCCTCACACATGGTGGACAGGTTGGCATCTGGAGGTGAAAATTACAAATAATCTTAACGACCCTTGAACGTGCCACAAATTGCAGTGGAGAACAGCAATGCTGCCTCTCACTGAGATCAACACAGCTAGAGTTTTCCTACCAGGACTGGCAGATACTGAGGTTTCTCCAGCTGAACATCAGTGGTTGGCTTCCATTGTGGGGCCAACTTTTACCAAAAATACGTCTCTTGAAACACGAAATCATACAACTCACCGTGAGAGGTGAGCTCTTCTTGCACTCAATCCTGGACAAAAGCCCATACTATTTCATTCTTTTTCTTTTCTCTCTTTTCCTCCAATTAAGTACATTTAGGTGAATCTGTAACATGGTATGATGTCATTCCACTGCAGGGTTTATCACAGACAGACCGAGTAAAGGCTACCTATACATGGGATGAATGTTAACTGACAAGCTGCCTACCTACTTCACAATCACATGAATGTAAGGAATGACCTACAGCAGAATTCCTGAAACTATCTGGCCTCTATCAGTCATGGGTGCACAGGAGCCACTCTCAAATCACAAGTCCACGGAGCCAGCACCAGAGACCGTGGCTCTAGCGACTCTACACAATATCTACTGCTGCTCTGAGAAGGACCAGCTCCAAACGCACCTCTCCTTCTTCACCAAGTCCCCTTCCATCACTGCCATGCTGGCAGGCCGCTTCCTCTCCAGGGTCCCCGAGTCAGAGTCGTTGCCAGTGTGGGATGAGTGATTAGAATTCGGGGTGAGAGGGACAAATGCTTCTGAGACGTTAAATTCCACCTCTGCAAGAAAAAAAATAAGCAAGTCTGTGAGACACAGAGTACAAGGGTCAAGGGAGCCCTAAACACCCCACTGGGACAGGAACCTCATTCTTCAGTGCAGAAGCCCTCACTCCTCACGAGGGGAAGCTCCAGGCATGCCTATCTCTCAGGATGGGTTTATCAACCCTCCCATAAGAGAGCCAGAGATGGGGAGGAGGATGACTCCTAATACACACAACTCTTCTGCTTCCTCTCTTGTGAAAAAAAAAAAAAAAATTATGGAATACACAAGAGGACAATGAGTGTGGATCACTTATTTGAGTCATTGAAAGTAACAGATATTTACACTCTGATAAAAAAATAGAAATATAACATTAGCCCATACTGCCTACAGCACTTTTTGCAACAATCATTTCCTCCAAGGAAATCCTGGGCAGAATGCTAATATTCATCCATTCAGCACATCTTGACTGGACTCACACAAGTGAGGCGTGATTCTTGAGGACAGGAAGACAGTGGTGAAAAAAAAGACAGGCAGGGCCCTGGCATCGAGAGCTCACACTCCAATGGATGTGGCAGCTGGGCCGTTCTTGGGGAGTAGGGGTGGGAGGTCCAGATACCCAACACTTGCCCAACCCAAACCCCCAAAATGGGGCCATGGAAACCTCTGCGGATCCCAGGACTGCAACAAACCTAGTTTGAAAATCTATCACCTAGAGAATGAAATCCTAATCCTAGCCAACTCAGACCATCATCAACTGGCCCCGATCAACCTTTCCTGCTTTATCTTCCACTTGTGCACAAGTCCAGTGATCTAGCTAGAGAAAGAAAAAGCCCTCTGCCACGTGGAAAACCCCTGCATAGTCAATATCACCTCTTCTATAAAGCAATCCGCTGGCTCTTTTCCCAGTACCTGGGTTTGTCAAATCTTTCCCCATCCACCTATCTTTCCAATTTGCCATGTTGTCATTTATCTGTTTAAGTGGCCACCTTCTCCAGTGGCCCGAGTTCCTCCAGGGAACACAGCATGTCTCACCAGCAAACATATAGCACCAAGTGGGTATTCAATATGTATTCATATACGTTGGTGGAATGTGTTTTAGTGAAACTAATTGAAATACAAAATAATATGATGAACATAATGTCAAAATAAGAATGCAAATGAACCAAGTCTGGAAAGAAAATAGAAAAAGTAAAACCAATTATGTAATCATGAAGAAATTACTGACATATTTTCTTATTTAAAGACTTTTTACACTATTGTCACACTGCTTTGGCAGTCAATGAAACTGAACAATAATTACCTTCAGGGAAGAACCAGTCAGCATGCTGGATGATGGGTTCAATCACTGCAACCACGTGGACAGACGTGGCTGCTGCCATCTCAGCAAGTGTTCTGCAAAGCAAGTTCACAAAATTAAAATACCTCCCCCTAGGCCGCCTCTAATTTCTACAGGTTGTGTGAGGGCAATTCAATTATTTGTAAAGACTAAAATATTTAAATACAGATGCGAAAATTAAATCCACAGGTCTTTGCCTATGAGTGTGGCAGTGATTGCCAGGAAGAAACTTACTCCGACTTGGCTGTGGCACCCTAGTCTGCACTGCAACAACTACTACAGTGTCCAGTGCGCACAGGCACCTGTGAACAGTGATGCTGCATGATGGTGTGTCAAAATGCTGGCTTCAAACTGGTTTAGAACAAGGGTTGCACTTTCCCGTTGGAATAGTGTCACATGTGGTTGCTATCTGCTAAGACCCGAGATCACCAAAAACCAATTTTGCCTACAATGTCACCAAGAGCATGCTTTATTACAGCGTGTCTTGTATTACATCAGGGAACCTGAGCCCCCACATTTAGGTTTAAGGTGTCATATATATGGACTGGTCCCGAGATGGATGTTGAGAAGTTGAAAGTGTCTGATGTCAGGGCTCAAAAGGAAGAAAATAAATAAGAATTGCTATCCCTGCTGTCAAGCCCATATTCCTATTGAGGGTCAGATACCACAAAAGCAAACCACCTGCAAAATGTCTGACATTTACTGAGCACCTGCATCGATGTCAGGGCTCAAAAGGAAGAAAATAAATAAGAATTGCTATCCCTGCTGTCAAGCCCATATTCCTATTGGGGGTCAGATACCACAAAAGCAAACCACCTGCAAAATGTCTGACATTTACTGAGCACCTGCATGCTTCAGGTTCTTTATGTCATTTAATTTTTATAACAACTTGTTATGGGGTCTATCTTATAAACGAGGACACGGAATTCCCAAGAAGCATGATCTCAAGTCTGACTGCTTCAAACCTATCTCTTCTCTCCTGTTATCTATCATCTGACCTCTCTACCCACCAGAACATTTTCACCCCATTTTCCAACCAAGCAGAAGTTCTAGATCCTTTCGAATTCCAGCTTAAAATGCAAGCTCTGTCTGCCAAGGATTCTTCCTACCCTCCTCCCATCTGGATTCTGATCAGTCTTCATGTCTTAGAACACTGCTAGATTGAGGAGAAACTGTCCATTCATGTCCTTTGCCAGTTTTTCTTTTTGAAGAGATACTGTTTGTCTATTGACTCGTAAGACCTTTTCATATATTCTGCATATTTCTGGAGGAACTCTTCCTAGTTTGCGAATTTCCTTTTGTTTAAGTTGCCTTCAGACATATAAAAGTTCCTAGCTGTTACAGAGCCAAATCTAGACATTTTAAATGTATTGCTTCTTGTACTGTTTTTATGCTTATAAAATTCTTCTTTATCCCAAAAGGTAACAAACATTTACCTGCCATGTTTATGGTGTCACTTTTTATGTTTTAACTCTTTAGTCTACCTGGAATTTATTTGCTAAAGAAACAATCTATATACAGTCATGCATCACTTAAGGACAGGCACATGTACTGAGAAATGTGGTATTAGGTGGTTTTGTCATTGTTCAAAAATTTATTATGAAAGGGAACTGCAATAAATTTTCCTATTATCTACACTGGCCACTAGCTGCATGAGCATGGGCCCTCTAATGTTACTAAGTCTCTCTGTGCCTTACTTTTCCTCATCTGTTAAATGGGGATTAGACCACCACCACCCCCACAAAGTTGTGAAAATTAAATTACAGGTGGGGATCGTGCCTGGCACTTAACAAGCACTCAGTGAGTGTTAGCTAACTGTTATTACCTATTATTTTGCTATGGGGATGAATGGAAATCATTTTAAAATGTGAGAATTCTAAAATAAGCCAGGCACAGAAAGGCAAGTACTGCATGATCTCACTCATATATGGTATCTATAAAACTGTGCTCATAGAATTAGAGAGTAGAATGGTGGTTACCAGAGGACTGGGGGATGCAGGAGGAGAGGGCGAAGATGAGAGATCAGTCAACAAGTACAAGTCACAGTCAGACAAGGAGGAATAAGTTTTGGTATTCAAGTGTATAGTAGGAAGATTAGTTAACAATATTGTAGTATATATTTCAAAACAGTTAGAAGAAAGGTTTTTGAATGTATTCATCACAAAGAAATGATAAATGCTTAAGACAATAGATATACTAACTACCCTAATTTGATCACTAAACAACACAGACATGTATCGAAATATAATGTTGTACACCATAAACAAACAGTTTTTAAAAACGCAAGAATTCCAAAGCAGATAACAGTCCTTTCACCTGTGGTCAGGACTGATGTGTCAAATGCTTGGCTTTCTATCTTAAAGGTCTGAACTACTCCTCTGGGAGGGAGTATCACCCTGTGGGTAAGGTAGGCATCTCTTTCTGCACATATTTTGCAGGAGGTTTGTTTACATCAGCATCACCACAAACACGTGAGCAACGCATTGCACTACAATGTGACGTCACTAGGCTACGGGAATTTTTCGGCTCCATTATAATCTTACAAGACCACATTGCGTATGTGGTCCGTTGTTGCCTGAAAATCATATGGTGCATAAATGTAGTTACCTTTGTATATCTACTTATCTTTAATTTTGCTTTATGACATTAGATCTTTGTAAGTAATCTTATAAATACTTTCTGAAATGAGATTAGGCATACATACATGAGAGAGTAAATGAATGAAAGACTTGGATTCCAAAAGTCTCTGCATTTTTAATGGAAACTTGAATGGTTCATGACTTTATGAAGCTGACGAGCAGTAACGGGAGACAGGGAAGAGGGATTGTTAAGGACACTGGCTCTGTAGCCAGCTCCTGGGCTCCTGCACCCCCCTGCTGTGCAACCTGAAGCAAATCACTTGTGCTCTATAAGACTCAGCATCCCCATCTGCAAAAACGAGGGCAGTTGTGCCTGTTTCACAAGGCTGTTTGTGAGGACTAAGTGAGATCATCACAGTGCCACCAACGGAGTGGCAATTTCTCAGAAGTGTTCTAGCTCTTCTGCCTGGCCTCTCTCCTCTAGTCAATCTACATTTCTCAAAGCCAACAAAATTATCTTTCTAAATACAAGTTAATTAAGGCATTCTTCTGCTTAGGAACCTTGATGGCTCCCCCATAACTCGGGAAATAAGTTCCAAGCACCTCAGCAGGACATGTGCGGCGCTCCATCACCTGGCTCTGGCCTACCCAGCCACAGCCTCATGTCCCCTGTCTTCCAGTTCCACAAGACCAGGTGACATGTCCCTTAATGCTGGAAACCAGGCCCTTCCATGCCCCCACTGCCTTGGTGCATCCACGTCCCATCTGTGGGAAACATAACTCATCAACGTACAGCTCAGGTACCATTTCCTAACCTGAGCCCTCCCCTAACTTCTCAGCCTGAATTGCATCCTTCATCTGTGTTGCCACCATATTTTATGTCTGTGATACTGAAGCCTGGCAGAATACATTGCCCCCAAATGTGCCACTTGGGCATAGGGTTATTTTGAGCTAACAGCACTTGAAAAACAGCAGATACAAGACGGGTGCTCTGACCTCCTTCCTGACAGGAGAAGCGAAGCTCCCATGTGAAAGATGCCCTCCCTATACCAGGAGGCAAGAAACTCTTATCACCAGACACAGGAGCTGAGGCCAAGGGAAGTCTACACCAACTAGTCCTCCTGAACTAATCCTGACCCTCCTAGTCACTTCTCACAATTAGCTGCCCTAGCCCAAGACCCTCTGTCTTGTCATGTTTTCACAATTTACTATTTTTTGTCAACATAGTTTATAAGTGTTCAGCTCTAACTGCTTCTTTGGGTCTTCATTTTTATGGGGGCTCCCATGTACACGTAAAAACCTGTATGCTTTTCTCCTGTGAATCTGTCCTATGCCAACTCAATTCTCAGGCCCAGTCAGAGACTGTAAGAGGGTGGAGGTAAAGTTTTATCACTACAATATCACAGACACTTACACAGATGTTTGTGTATCTTATCACCATACTGCAGCTATTGAGCTGCCTGACTGTCCAAGAGCCCAGGCACTTTGAGGACTGGGACATCTTTGTGCGACCAGCCTCTGGGACAGCACCCAGCTCAGAGCTGTGTTCTGAGAATGTCAGCTGAAGTGCATTGTAAACTAGAATGGGTATCTTAAGTTATATTTCTATTTGTCCCATTGGGTGGAAAGAAGAAATTAAATTAATATGATATTCAGAAAGAGTACTTACCCTTCATTTTTGGCCCATAGCAGGTTAGGCCCTAACACAATTGCAATGTTGCTGGGAGTCATTTTATTGATGTCACTGGTCTGAGCAAGCTTTGCGAGGAACTTGATTAAATACCTGTGAAACACAAGAGAAGAGGAAGGCACCTCCTCTAAAATACTTGCAGGAATATGCTCTCACTGCCCAGGTGCTCAATCTCAGACCGCTCAGAGCTAACTTCAGAGTGTTACTAAATCAGAATCTGGCTTAGGTGAAGCATTTTACATGTTTCTTGTGTTCTTAATTTCAAAGAATAGATTAGTTGGGGCTTGGAAGAAGAAAATAGCTCAAATGTAGATCTCAAAGATTCAACCTACATTTGCTGTATATTTTGAATCCATTTCTCATTTATGTCCTATCTATGCTACCCCTAATTAAATTACAATGTGATTAATACTGGGCTTGATATATTTTTAATACAAATATAATTTTTAAAAAATAAAAGCATAGGTATATTGCTTAAAGAAAACTGTATTTGATATTGCTTTATGTTGTGATTATGAAAATATCCAACCTATCCTATAGACTCTTTTATGTCTATATATAGTAGTATAAAAGCAAACAATTAAGAACTCAACCATATGCAATGGGGCACTGGTTAAATAAATTACAACATATCCATACAGTGGCATACAGTGCAACTGTAAAAAATTACTATGTACCATCATGGCAAAAACACTAAGATGTTAAGCCAAAAAGGCAAGAAGGAGAACGAGGCATACAATATACACTACCATTTGCTTTACAAAAAAAGCAGGTGGGTAATAGAGAAAAAGAAATGCATGCGCATAGGTGTATGTGAATGTAATTGCTTATATATGCATCAACTCTTGCTGAGCGGATATATAAGAAACTATAAACACTGGCTGCTTCTCAGGAGAGGAACTAGGTGACTGGTGGACAGGAACAGGAGAGAGATTTTTTATTCTATACCTTCTGAGTTTTGAAACATCGGAATGCACTCCCTATTCAAAAAACAATACAAGGTAAAAATTTTAGAGTAAAATAAACAAAATGAAAGGCCCAATCCCACGTACTGAGAACTATAATGAGATCCCACCATAATACATTAAACAGATTAAGAGTATCCGCAATTCCAAGCTGGGTGTGTTAAACTAATCAATGAGGGACACTGTAACTACCTTCCACTCATAAGGCAAGGTTGACACTTAAGGTATTAAAGGAGAATATTTAGGTTAGCTTAGTGATAGAGCCCAAAACTGAATTTAAGGTCAGGTAACAGAGCAGACATACCACCTGTAAAGTGTTTGTGGTTTCTGACCAAGTCCTCCTAGAACATCTTCTTTGTTTGCTTTTAAATGACTTTATTCCTTGGGGCCACGTTTTCCCCTCTTCCCTATGCTTCTTCAAAGTCATATTTTAAGTCAAAGGGAAAATAGAGGTTAAATTCCAAAAGTCTGTCCCATGGTAAATTTTCTTAGAAAAACAGGTATTCCATAAAGTAATATATACACTCCATTCTTTGAAATTTTATTTAGTAGGATGATTTATGCTCTATGTAAAAATAAATTCTGTTGCATATATGAAAGATATTACAGAATGTGCAATATTAATTTTGCCTTTAATATACTGGACAATTCAGACTCTAAGCTTTTCAGAGTCACCCAAACTTTTCCCAAGAATGTTTTGCTAGTAGCTGCAGTGCTAAGTGATGAGACAACTTATGCATTGATGCCACACATGATTCTGGTACTTTGGTGCATCACAGTGATACTCATCAAATCCCACCCCAGCAGCCCCGAACTATTCTCCAATGTATTTTTTTTAATGTGTCAAGTATGCTTGAATTAAACTGGGGATAAACCTATCTTCACTCCAGAGTCATTGTAGCTTTGTGGCTTAATTTTCAGCAGCCAATTATACATACCTAAAGTTAATAAAATTTTGTGGTGGCAACTTCTGACATGTTCTCCATAAATCTTGAAGTTTTTTGTCTTGCTCTTGCACACTAAGAAAAAAATTTTTATGCATAATGATTTATTAAAATGTATGTTACTAATACCTATGTTAATATTCTATATACAGTGATGCCTCCATGTGACAGAAAGCACAGTTCAGAAACAGCACACATCTCAGGAATAAACAGCTTTGGAGTCAAATACCAATGAACTCATTATTTATCTAAGAGTAGTTAGTTAACTTCACCAATCTCCTGATTTGCAAAACAGGAAAGAATGTTGATTCTGCTGACTGATTTTGAGGCTCAGCAGCATAACCATGCAAAACCAAATAGACCAATGCTTGGCACACAGGAGACAAGACACCACTGCAAATTCTGTCTAGAATATGTGTATATTGATGTACGGCTTCATTGAGGCCAACTCAGTTGCAGATCAGGTGGCCAGGCTCCCAGGCACCCTGACCACTGGCTTTTTCCCTGCTCTCAACAATGCTCCAGGCCCCAGATCTAGAAGCCCCTTCCTGTTGTGAAACAATTACTGGAGCTCTTGTACTATACAGTTTTGATGAACAAACTTTCAGAGACACAAACAAGGCACAGAGCAGATCCTGCAGAGCAGGGTCCACTCTCCACTAGGAGAAGTGTTAGAAGTTGCCTGCACAGTACTGTTCGGGACTTGAAACATCCTCCAGAACTGAACCACTCTGGAGAGTTACAGATAGGGGTTAAACACAATTATCCTTTAGAGGCCAGTCAATGTACCACCAGGATGGAGGCCTACACTCACGTTTCTCAACTACAGAATCAATACGCAGACAGACAGACACCTTCTTTTTTTTTTTTTTTTAAAGATGACCGGTAAGGGGATCTTAACCCTCGACTTGGTGTTGTCAGCACCACGCTCAGCCAGTGAGCCAACCGGCCATCCCTATATGGGATCCGAACCCAACGCCCTGGTGCTATCAGCACCGAGTGAGCCACGGGCCAGCCCAACAGACACCTTCTTTTACAAGCTTATTTCCTCACAGGGAAGAGGTAAGGAGTCTCAGAACAGAGGGAAGAGTTGAGGTTAGCAGGGGTGAAGGAGGCTACCCAGTGAAAGAATCCCACAACCCTCCCCTACCTGGCCCTGATTGCTGGGTTCCATTTAGACAAATGCTATAAACATCGATATTTACAGCAGGCTGGGCCCAGGCTGGGTTCCAGAATACAACAATGACCAAGAACTTGTCTCTGAACTCAAAACCTTACCATATACCAAGGACAAAGTCTCTCACTCCTCAATTACAGCGAAAAGCTCAAATGCAAACCCATGGTTAAAGTGACAAAGGATGGAGTCATATCCCGCTTTTGGAAACAAACAGCTTACATCTAATCGTGGCCTATCTGATAAGAAGAGGTGACGGTACCTGCCGGTGTGGGAAAGGGACAGATGCAGAAGTGAGGCTTGTTCCTCCTCCCTTAGGGGTGAGGAATTAGTCCCTTCAGAGAGAAACCGAGTCAGAACCAGGAGGGAAAAGGCAACAAGGAGGCTAGCTGGCTGGCCGGCTGAGGAGAAGCCTCTAGACTTTTTCAACAAGGCTGTCCTGCTTAAAACCAACTACTAGACAGACCAAAACTGGGGACGGAGGGGAAGGGACAAAGAATAGGAACAGGGCCTTTCTGTCTGGGTCTGAATTCTAGCTCTGCCAATCACTTGCTACTACCTTGGCCCTGTTCCTTCCCAAGCCTCAGTTTCCTCACCTGTAAAATGAGGATGACAGCAACATATGCCTTTTATAACATTAACTGAGGATTACAGGAGGTGATGGGTGTAAAGATTAGTACAGTACTTAGCACATAGTAAATGCTCAGTAAACATTAACTATGTCACCATTATGACTGCACAGCTGAGTCTGCACACAGCTCCACAGGCACTAGTCAGTAGGACACTCATCCTAGTTACATAACCCCCTTCAGTATAAAGAGGGTTTGAGACCAGCCAACCATTAATGTGGGTGCCATTATATGTCTTCATCCATATAAATCACACAAATTCAAACCAGTGCATAAGCAGTGACCTTCCCACACTAATAATTATAATACTCAATATTTTCACTCTAAACGTAAAAAAGAACTGGTACACACATTATTTAAAAAATATACTATTTTGATGTTATTTATGATCCCCGAAAATGAAATGATTTACTAATGGGGCACGACATGACACCATTTCCTTTAACTTTTAAAACTGTGTGTTATTTAAACTTACCTTGCAACTTGTGTCCATTCTTCATACAGATTAAAAGTCATCAATGGTTCAGGCAACTCCCGTAAATAGGACTTCAAAGCACCTGAAATCATCAACATTCTTTTTGAGTATGAAAAGGGCTATGGCTTAGAATCTCAGGACATATTATTTTGCTAATTGAAATTATCTCAATTACAGTCTTCCAGGGTATATAAAACAAATTCTAATTTGGCAGGAGTGGTTAGAGAATGAAATGCTCATTAAAGCAAATTCATCCCTTTCAAAAATATATTGAGAGATTAAAAGAAAATAAAATTAGCTTTAAAGCCATCCTCTTAACAGGCGTCACTTCAAGTAGATCTGGATTTTGGATCTCAAGGTAGATCTGGATTTTGATATGCAGATATCAAATATCTGCATAATAAGCTACTTTCACCTTTACTTAATAATCAGGAAAAAAAAAAGACAAAAAAGGAATAGAAAGGATGGATGTGTGTGTGTGCATTATATTACACATTAAGGACATTTATCAGGATACCATTTCAGTTTTGTCACTTAAGTATATAATTAAAAGTGGATCTTTAACTGATGGTCTGTGTGAGACAGGAGTCGTCCACCACCTTGAGAGTGACTGGATGTGCAGATGTTCCTTGGAGCTCACCTGCTACAGCATGGGGGTCTGAGTAGAACTCATCCAGGTGAGAAGTAGAACAGTCTAAAGCGGCTTTCAGTTTCTTTAACTTGGAGGCCCCAGCCCCAATTCGGAAAAGGCCCTAAAGACAATGAAAAGCCATTAGCACCAAGTACAAGTTTTGAGTCTGACACTGAGCATCAGTGTGGTCTGATGGAGGGGACCCCTCCCCACTTCCCCGACTTCGGCACCCTTATCCGTCTATGAGAGCAGAGATTGCTACAGATTTTCTAAATTTAGGATTTAAATTTTAAAACAAAAAATTTTTTAAAAATATGTATGTATATATTTAAAAAAGGACACGTCAAGAAAAATTGTTAGACTAGGCTGCTAGTCACTTTCACTGCTCTAAATGTTACTTAGGAAAAGGAGAGAAAACCACGTACAGGGCCAACCAAGGGAGGCAGTATAAGAAGGATACTGGACCAGGATTTAAAAGACTTGGGCTTTAAGAAAATTAATCTAGGAGGGTTTCTTGACCTCAGCACTACTAACATTTTAGGCCAGATAAATCTTCGTGGTGGGGGGCTGTCCTGTGCACTGTAGCACGATTAGCAGCATCTCTGGTCTCTGCCTACCAGATGCCAGTAGCAACTCTGCCCTCTGCAATTTTGACAATCGAAAACGTCTCCAGACTTTGCCAAATGTCTCTTGGGAGCAGAACTGGCCCCAGATGAGCACTGACCCAGGCTGTTAGAAGTTGAGGCCACATTGTTGGGGGCAGGCGGTGGTGACTGGAAGCAAACCCTCAGAAGGCTTCTAGTGTGTGCCTTGATGTGGGTGCTGATTATATGGGTGGGTTTAGGCTGCAGAAATTCATCCAGACGTTCAACTATGATATGTACACTTTTCTATATGTATGTTATGCTTCAATAAAAAGTTTTAAAAAGGAAAAAAAAAAGATTTTCATTTTGATTCTGGCTCTGCCCCAGCATGAACTCCCTGTGTGCTGACTTCCTCATGTACACAAGAAGAGTAATGAGAACTGCCCTGCCTGGTTCATGGGGATTTTTTGGGTAAAGTACACCAAAAAATAAAGCATGTAAATGTTCCCCCCTCCATTTCACAATACTACACAAATGTAAGATTCTTGCTATACATGCTTGCTATTAACATGTACACAAGAAGAGTAATGAGAACTGCCCTGCCTGGTTCATGGGGATTTTTTGGGTAAAGTACACCAAAAAATAAAGCATGTAAATGTTCCCCCCCTCCATTTCACAATACTACACAAATGTAAGATTCTTGCTATACATGCTTGCTATTAAAAACTACAGCTCATGGAAGCTCTGGTCTGTTAGTGCTTCACGGAATCTATTGTCGCAAATCACAACCAGAGTTTAAAATGCAACAAACAAAAGTTTGAAAGCCACCAAACCGACAGTGGTTGTGTGATAAAGGTGAGGCAGGGGGCATTCTGCTCTAGGCAGGGGAAAGGGCATGGAGATGTAGTAGTACACAGGATCCTGAAGTGGCCTCACCTCCTCCTTCATGCCTGTCTCCAGGAGCATCATGACACAGGCTTCGATGGGCAGCGCGATCTCGCGCCCACTGCGCTTCAGGTGTTCTTCCAAAGGAGTCCCGAAGGCTGGCTTTTCTGCCCACTTATCTAGAGCAGCAAACCATGCAGTGAGACACCTGACAACCTCGTACATCACCAAGTAGTTTTCTCCCCAAACCACCAAAGGGGATTTTCTAGCAGACAGGTAGCTGAGGATTTGGGAAAAGGGGAAACATCTGTTCTGTTCACTTCCATTATTTACCATTTACTAGAGCACAAACTGTGCCAGGCTGGGGCGTTTATGTGTGAAACAGAAACCCTGAGCACACCCACATAGCACCTAGCGTGAGCTGAGCAGCAGAAGCTGCAATGGGGCTCCTGCACCTGCGCGAGGAGGGTTGACTTGCCCTAAAATAGGATTCATCTGCGCGTGCTGTTTCCAGAGAAAAGAAATTTATTCTAGCCATGCAAAGCATCACTGGCCTTCTAGCTAGAGGACAAGAAACAGACTCCTTCCATGTGAAAATGGAAATAATCTCTTAAAATTGTAAACATGAGTCAAGAACTTGTCATACAAGACTGGAGACGATCAACGTGAACTCATGTCAGGTTCAACATCTCCAGGACATGCAGTGGGTCGGAATGCCACATCCCCAAACAGTTCCCAAAAGCTTCTGAGTAGAAAAAAATGCAGTATCTGCAGCCCCAAAGCAGCTTAGGCTGAAGGCCACGCTGACAGCAGTGAAGCAATATTTTCTATTACTTTCAGATCATATGCCCCGCTTCCGCCCACAGAGGATTTGAGGCGGCTTAGCAGAAGTATACACAGTAAAGCAGTAAAAGAGAAAGAAGAAAAGGGATCTATTAGAGTAGGGAGCATTCGGTTGGGTCTGGCTGCCTGTGGGAGCTGCAGAGATCCAGCACTATCTGAGCAGCACCCAGAAGCAAGGCCAGCAGGTGAGAAACAATCCAGGGAGAAACTCTTAACTCTTCCCAGCAAGAGGAAGGGCTTGAGTCCTTCTCAGCACCTTTGATGGACACTCATCCCTGAGCCACTTTACTGTCCAAAAGCTGGGTTTGAAGAAGGCAACATATACTCTCGTGTGCCCTCTTACACGCTCCCTACATCACAGCAGGTGTACAGGGCCCATCACACAACAGGCACATAGAGGAAGGAAGAAAAATAAAATCCCACAAAATCCACAGACCTGAGAGCTTGTAATAAGTTAAGAACTGATGGAAAGAGCGAGTGGGTAAAGGCTGAAGAAAGGAGGAGGGAAAGAGAGGCAGTAGACAAAAGCCAAGAGCAGGTGGCTCGTCATTCTCAAAATTCTGGCCTGGCCCCACCCACTGGAATTTCTAATAGAAACAGCATCCAGAGGCCTGGCCCTTCCCAGAAGACAGAGCTTCCTGACCATCATCTCAGAGGTCAGATCTTACCTTGAGTACTCTGTCCCTTTTGCCTAAAGCAACAAGTCTCAACACAGGCTAAAAATGGACCCATGACCCTTCCCCTAGAGGATCCTTTGAAATCGCAAAGGGGAATGACACACAACACCTGTCATAGCCCACCACATGCCTAACCCTGCCATGCTAAGAAATGAGCATACTCCAAATCTCTGCTAGAGCTTTCTTGTGCACGCTGAACAGAACATGTCCCATTGTGCACCTTGGTGTAATGTTGGCAGAGGGTGCAAGTGAGACCCACTGACCCAGAGACAAGTCCTAAGGCAAACCCATCTTCAGGCTCTGGCCTCTCCAATAACAGACCTACTGTGTGCCCAGCACTGCAGCAGATTCACAAAGTTCATAGAGACTCCCACCCTCGGGATGAGAGCAACCTCATGGTGAAGAAAATACAAGACACATGTAAACACACAATAGTCATTAACAAGACATGTTTGCTAAGTACTGGCAGATCAGTGGTACAGACAAGAGTCACAAACGCAGTCGTCCACAAGGCATCACGGGTGCACGAATCATGCAGGGAGCATCTGGGGCCAGACCAGAGTTGCCACATAGGCAAGCAGGCCCAGTGTCACCAGATCCCCTGAACTATCAAGAGAATCCAGAAATCAGGATGGTGACATGAAAGCATCTAGTTTTTAAATGATGGCAACTAATTTAAAAAGATTTTTTTTTTTCCCTTTTTTACTGACCGGCAACGGGATCGCAACCCTCGGTGTTGCTCCCGCACCACGCTCAGCCAGTGAGCGGGAACCGGTCTCCACATGGGATCCGAACCCTCGGCGGGAGTGCCGCCGCGCTCCCAAGCAGCGCACTCTCCAGTGCGCCACCGGGCTGGCCCTAAAAAGATATTTTTTAATGAGATAGGGCTGTCTGTAACTTCCAGTGTAGACTATAAATGCTAGAGCAGTTCAGGAGACAGAGTGTTCACTGTTGCCTGTAGTGTCAGAGAAGACTCTTCAAAGGAAGTGAGCTTGGAGGAGGTCTCATAAGACGGGCAGGAATCAAATAGGCCAAGAAATAGGAAAACACATCTTGTGGAGAGTTATAAGCCTAGAAAAGACCAGAGATCATGAGTCTGGAATCATATTTTATCCCACAGCTCATACACAGGGCAATGAGAACACAGGGCAGAGTGGGCCAGCAGGAACAGACAGGAAGTTGGGCACAAGGCAAGATAGACAGGACCCAGCAACGGGTACATGAGAGGAAAGAGAAGACAGCTCCAGGGTTTCAAACTGCAGCATTCAGAGAAAGGGGGTATATCAAGGAGAAATGGAGGGAGAAAGAGCAGCTGGTGTGGAGGGAGAAATGGTTTGCTTTTTGAGATAAGTCAAGTTTAAGGTGAGACCCAGGCATCAAAGGAGACTGCCACTGAGGAGGAGGATGAGAGAGTTAAGATGCCGGTGAGAGGAGAAGCTGTCTGAATGAGGGGACTCCTAGGGAAAGGGGGCAAGAGAGAGAGGAAGAGAGAGAACGCAGGAGCAAGGCCCGGACCTCACAAAAAACTGATGTCTGGGGTGAAGACAGGAATGGAAAAACTGCAGAGTCCGAACAATGAAAGAAGACAATCATGTGAAATGACAGAAAACATTTTAACAAGGAAGAGATGGCCCAAGCCAATCAAATGCCAGGATCTGACAAGAGGTTGCTGGTCCTTTGGAAACTGCAACGTTTTATTTTGTTTTTCAATAGCAGAGTGATTGGGCGTAGAAACAGGCTGCAGAGGGCTGGGGGGGGGCGGGTGGGAAGGTGGGAAGGAAGTGGAGGTGGCAGGTGGATTTTGAAGAGCTGACCAGAAAACTAAGGAGAAGGAGATGAAATGCAGCTCTATGTTTAGGACAGGTCCCAAGTAACCATCAGCTGACACATGTGCGACCAGTGTCCCCAGGGGTATGGGGGCAGCGGGGTCAAGTCACACACTTTTCCTATAGTAAGGACACACTGAGTCTTTCTGAAAACAGAGATGAAGACAAAGGAAGAGGAGACAGGACTAAGATGAGAGGGAGCTACGAGGATAGGCAGAGGGCAACGGTGGGGCTCCGGCTCAGTGGAGGGGGAACCTTAGAAAGAAAGACAGGTCACACTCCTTCACTGGCTGTTCCCCCCCACCCCAGCTTTTCTTGTTTCATCCTAAACTCTTCCCTGCCCCCTCCCTACTCCCTATGACTTTCTGACATATTCCCCCAGGGAAAACAGCCATGGGAAAAAAATAGAATGAGAGTTTAAAAAAAAAAAGACTCCTAAAAAAATCAAATCTTCTCTTTTTAGTGCTTGTTAGTCAACTCTTCCAAATCAGACTTTAAGACACTCCAAGGCTAAAATGATGATGTGTACTATTCTGTCTCACGCAGGGCCCAGCCCACAGCAGGGATCTTGTAAATACATATGCTGGGAGCTCTGAGCCTGCCCAGCGACAGTCTGTCCCTGGGAAGGCTGAACGTTCACCGCGCTTCATTCCTTTGCACCGTAACTCAGCACGATCATCTGAGAACTAGGAAGTTAGATCATTGAGGAAAGGAAAGGGCAGCTCGTCCTATGAAGAATGGCCCAAGTAAATCATTCAAACTGTAGCTGAGATTGCTGAAGACCTGCCTATGCAGTTAGTCAAGACAGGGAATTTTCTAATTCCATAATTCGAAAGCATTCAGGCACAAAGCCAGAACCCACTAGGACCTCCTGACATCTAGGGGTGAAGAAGTAGCATTCTGGAAGGTGCCAGCATGTGTGCATGCCCACAACACACACCCACACACACACTTGCCTGTTCTTGACAGTCACCCAGTCATCACACTCAGCGCCTGGCCTTGTCCCTTTCAGTTCAAGAGTAATGGTTCTACAGGGGGAACTCTAGCTCCAGATGTCAGGTCTCTACCACAAGCAAAATAGTGTGACAGGTTCAAAGACAACAGAACAGTTTTTGCCTCAACAGCTTTTGCTCCACTCTGCCCGGAAATGCTCTGATGGTAAATCAGAGAGAAGTATAATCAAAAGCTCAGGGAGAAAAATAAAAAGCTTTAAATGTCCAACTTAACACTAAACATGAAGGGAAAGCTCAGTCCACTCATAACTTGTGGGTGACATCTGCAACATGCTTAAATGTGGCGGGCAAACTGGTAGGGCTGATAAGAACAAGAGCTTGTGTAAAGACAGAAAAGGGCCTGGAAGAACTCATAACTTGTGGGTGACATCTGCAACATGCTTAAATGTGGCAGGCAAACTGGTAGGGCTGATAAGAACAAGAGCTTGTGTAAAGACAGAAAAGGGCCTGGAAGAAGTGGCCATGGACTTATGATTCAATCTCACTTACTGCGTGACTGATGATGTGGCACCAGTACTGGCTTGTAAAATTCTCTTTTGGCAAGTCCAAAATACATTCCCTAGAACAGATGCTCTTGGAGTTAAAGGGCCAAAATTAAGCCCTATGGAAAAAATAACTGATTTGGAAAAGGATAACTAGATGCTACAATTTTTCAAGCTAATGAAAGACAAAAAACATACAGGTAGTCCCCAGAGGGACTAGCTTTCTCTTCAACCGAAGGCTTCAGAAGAACTGAAAATGTTCTATTAATATGTTAATTTGGGTTTGGAAGAAATTAGAGAATGCAGCAAGAAAGATGAAATTATGCTGGGAAATAGGACCCTCCTAGGTAGAGAGGCTCTTTCCAAAGGAATTGCATGCACAGGAGTCAGAAGGAAGAAGATCAGAGGCAGGAGAGGCAGAGGCAGGAAAGAGCCATCGGCCGCACGCAGATTACGTTACCTTGATGGACTCGCATTTCGGGAAGGGCCTTTTCTAAGACTGCTAACGCTTTTCTATGGTAATCTGCTTGGGCTTCTAATAACTGAGAACAAACCCACATTCAAAAATAAAAGTCACGTTAGCATCAGATGGACACACACGTAACAGCTGAGCAAAACTAAAAATGGCATCTTTTGCAAAAAAGCTAAAATGACTCAATTTTTACAATGATTTAACATTCTGTCAAGAGAAGGTGCGTACCGTAACAAAGAATTTGCCGTACTCCCCTTCTCTGGCCATGAAGTTGTACATGTCTGCTGCGAGTTGATCCTGGGTAAGTGGAAGAGAACATATGTCACTGAAGAGGAAAGAGGTGAAAGAAAAACGGCATCTGAGAATATTCTCCATAATCTCTTAGATCAAAAGTGATAGAAACAGCCAAGATGAAATGTCCATCAGCTGACTGAACAATCATACACTGGAACAACAAAAGGAATCAGGAAGCTTATTACATGGGTTCACATAGAAAGATTTCCAAGATATATCATTACTACACCTTGTTATGAAATGACATATAGACCATTATTTTGGTATGTTATCATCTGGATTAAAAAAATACAGGAAATCGGGCCGGCCCGGTGGCACAGTGCTACAGTGCACCGCTTGGGAGCGCAGCGGCGCCTGCTGAGGGTTCAGATCCCACGTACAGACCGGCCGCTCACTGGCTGAGCGAGGTGCGGGCGCAACACTGAGGGTTGCGATCCCGTTGCCGGTCCCGGTCTGGTACGGGCGCAACACTGAGGGTTGCGATCCGTTGCCGGTCACGAAAAAAGACAAAAAAAAAGGAAAAAAAAAAAATACAGGAAAAATGTTGTATTTTTATTGCTGTATTTTAATTTATATATGTATATATGGAAGAAAAAATAAGAAATTAGATAACATTAGCCACCTGTTGGGAGCAGTGGAAATTAGGCCGCAGGAGGAAAAGGGTGCAAGAAAGGCTTCACTTATACTTTTTAATATTTTTTGGTATTTGAGCTAATGTAAATGAATTACTTATACACATTAAATAATTTTTTTAAAAACTGACCAATTAGGAAATTGGATATATGTGTGTGTGTATATATGGTTCCAATTTTCCAATGTACATATTGGAATTTTTTAATATATATTGAAAAATGTATATATATTGGAAATATGTACGTATGGCTGTTTTTTTTAAATAATGCCTTCTGTTTTTGGCATCAAGGTACACAGATTAATGTTAAGGCCCTCCCATTTATGATAAACCTGGAAATACCAGTTAGGAGTAACAAACGTTTTTTAGAATAACTGGGAAAGCAATAAAGTAAATTCTCTGAGTACCTCCCACCAAACATTAAAAAAAAGAGAAAAAAGAAAAAGAAACAATCAAAAAGCCAGAATGCTAAACATAAACGGAAGCTGGAGATGACCTGGGGTTTTCCTGCCAACTTGGTGGCCTAGGTGTTTGAGTCATGTGGACAGAAAATGAAGCCTTGGGCCTGGTGACATGAGGAACAAGTACACACACATCACGCATAAAGATAAAATTCCTGAAGAACTATATCCTTGATGAAGAGGTAGAGTAGAACTAATTCACTCAACAGCATGTGGAAATAAGAGGGAAGTCTATGTGTTTTGGATTGAGCTCTGAGTCTGGGGGAGAAAAACCATGCCCATGAGATTTCACAAATACAGACCTGCTTCCATGAGGACTTGAGGTTTGACTTTTTTATATCTGTGGTCCAGGAAACCCCACACTGAGAAAGTTTAATTAAAAATGGACCTTATCTGGCAGTACTCTCTGGGGAGACTCTCCCAATCCCCAGGAGCCACACAGATAAAGCCCCTCTTAAAATGAGCTCACAGTACAAAATTATAAAACACATAAAGAAACAATCCACAATAAGCCAACTCCACCACTCTCACAGAGAACAGCAGAAAATAGAATTAGCAGAGACTGTTAAAATCAGTATATTTAAAATAATTAAATTAAATAAGAAGCTAGAACAGAATAATGCACTATCAAAAAAGGCAGTTTTAAAGAAGTAGAACTTTAGAAATGAAAAATATAGTCAATGAATTTCAAAACTTAATGTTAATTAGTTAAATATCATAAGATACAGCTAAACAGAGAATCAGTAAAATAGAACTTGTATTTGAGAAAATCACCCAGAAAGTAGCATAGAGAAGAAAACATTAAATATTTTCATGAGTTTTTGCCATCTGAAATACTGACAAGCCATGGTGTGGAAGTTGAGAGAAGAGACATCAGTCCACAAGGCACCTGTTAGACTCCCCACATCTCCAGTCAAACTTATGCGCAATAAGTATTCAATGGCGAGATGTAGGTTAGACCAGATATAAAGAAGACTGCTGGCTAAATGACACTGGCACAGCTACAACTCTTCTGAACACAAGCCAGTGTGACACTATTTTATTAGAAGCATTTATATGAATATGATCTTTTTAAACACAAATGCCATGGCATGACTTTGTGAGTTCTGTTTTAATTTCTACCCTCTACATTATTTTAAACAGTTTACCACAGTTAACTGATCAAGTTTTGCGATCTTGAAAAGTGAATTATAGCGTGAACTGAATAAACTAAAATATAACAAACAGTCCTAACACTATCTAGTAGAACTAAGAGATGATTTTTAGAAAATGATGAATAATAAGAGCAGGAAAAGTCTAAGTTGGTGACCCTAAGACTCACCAAAGACCTGTTTCTTTAACACCTCAAATAACATTTAGAATAAACATCTATCTCAATTAATAGAGGCACAGAGAATAAAATTACTTAACCATATAATTAATCTAGAATTTAATTTATGAGATAAAAAGTAAGTTCTATTTCTCCCAAATTACAAACCAATTGCCCTAGCCACATTTTAAAAATAATCCTTCCCTTTCCAACGGATATATGATGACCAGTTTACTATATACTGAACCTTAAAATATAATAACATTCACTCTAGAAAACCTATACATTCTATTGATTTTTTTGTCTACTGTGCATTGTTTTAATTGCTGTAACTCTAAGATATGTTTTGCTATGATTTTTTCTCTTTCTCACCTATTCTTTATTTTAAATAAGCTTAGGCATTTTTGTCAAGTTTTAAAAATATCTTACTTGAATTTTTTAAAAATAATGTTTTATTCTGATTATAAAATAACGTAATCTTGGAAAATAAAGAAAAAAGAAGAAAATAAAAACCACTTTTAATATCATTCAGAGTATTCAGATAGAGATTAGGTAAAACTTTAAATAATTTACAATATTTGACTTTTCATGCATCATTTGCAAAAACCAAAAGATTGATGCAAGCATATATTTATTTGAAAATTCTCACACCTTGCACTGTTCTACTTTATTTCCAGCTTCATCCATTTCTTCCTTTAGGGTATCTATTTTTGATGGAGGCCCCTGAAAGTTGGTTCCTGAAGATTTGTGGGCTTGGTTCCATCTGCAAAACAAAGGGGTAGCCAGAATCTGAGAACTTGCTGTATATACTCAACCTCATGGAGTCAAGGACTTAACGGAAATGGATCCTTCCCCAAGACTGATTCTACCTGGCATGAGTATCAGTACCTAGGAGGCTCGTTGCTCTTGAGGCTATCCTCTAAGAACAGAAGCAGGCAAAAGCAAGATTAGCTTCCCACCATGACAGGACCCATGCAGTGCTGGGAGTGGCAGTCTTCCCTAAGCATGACCCACCACATCTTGTCTCAGACAACTGCTGGGAAGTAATCCACGGAATCCTGTAGTATCCAGTTATGGAATACTGGCCATGAAACATCTCTTTGCTTTCTGTCTTTGATCTGGAATGTTCCCTGTGGCCCTGGGAGTCAACTCCTGCTCCTGAGGACTCCTTATGATTCTTCCTACTACCATCTGTGACCTGTGATTACTTTCAGCAAGTAAAAGCCAGAACCTCAATAATGTAGCTATCAATCAATAGCTATGGAAACACTTAGAAAAAGGATTAAACTATAGCAATAGTAGGGAGACAGGGGAAGAAGAATAATCTAAAACAATTTTTTTTGTATTTCAAACCTTCTGTTTGAATATGGATATATCTGGCATTGTGGAAAGTTCTAACACTTCAAATTTAAATGTAGATATTATAGGGCCGAGCCCGTGGCGCACTCGGGAGAGTGCGGTGCTGGGAGTGCAGCAGCGCTCCCGCCGTGGGTTCGGATCCTATATAGGGATGACCGGTGCGCTCACTGGCTGAGCGTGGTGCGGCTGGTCTCAAAAAGGACAAAAAAAATAAAATAAAATAAATGTAGATATTATATAGGTGCAGCATGAAAACCCATGTTAGCAACTTATCAAACTTCCCAGACTCCTCCACTGCCCCCAGTAGATATTATATATGTGCAGCATGAAAACCCATGTTAGCAACTTATCAAACTTCCCAGACTCCTCCACTGCCCCCAAACACTAGTTCTACCTCCTCGTGTTCCTGATGTGACACGCTCCTCCACAGCAAGGATGCTGAGCACACTGGTGATGCCGTGCTGTGGAAAGAACATGGACTCTGGAGTCTGACATGCATAAGTATGAAGCTCAGCTCTGTCTTAACTAGCTGTGTGACCTACTTATGACTCTCTGCTTCTCAGTTTTCTCCTCTGTAGCACTAAGATGACAAACACCATCTGCCTTAGAGACCGTCATAAGGAGTAAAGGAGAGAACACACGTGTGCATGTGTCTGGCATACAATGCATTCTTATTTAATGCTGCTATCATTTTCCTCAAGGGAAAAGCCATAGAAATAAGCAAAAATAAAGAAATATTCAACTGCTTCAGTTTCTCCAATACCTGCTTTGATTAAGTGAACAAGACCATGAACACCAGATCAAGAATCAGTGTGGAACTTTTCCATGAGATACAGGTACTCAAGATGCAAAATTCCTGGCAGACAAACATCTGTAACATTGCTTAACCAACTCCAGTAAGGGAGCATTCACGGCCTTGTTTAATTAGCCATTAGAACATTCTTCCTTCTCTTGAGCAAAAATGTGCCTCAGGGTGGCCTGCACTCCCTGGCTCTGTCACACAAGATTCTAATCACACAAGTACACGCGACAAGGAGACAGTGGACTTTGCTGCCAGAATCCCAACTCTGCCATTTATTATCTCTAGGGCAAGTTGTACAGATAATATATCGGGTACCTCCCTTCTCTGTACACACGTCTCCTTTAAAAAGTACAGGACATTACATCCACCCTAGCCCGTTCCCTCTCCGATTTGCGTCGAGGGGCCTCCGCATTCAGTGTCCAGCACAGAGTCAGACACACATGAGGCACCCAACTGATGAAAACACAGATAAGCAGATGAACAGGGACTAGGGGAAGAATCCAGTGATGTGACATAGACTGTGCGTGCCTCAATACCTGCCATATGGCAAGTGCCCAGTAAGTGACACTTCCTGTTACTAGATAATTGCGCTATTATCGTTTTTTACCATGTCTGAATTCCTAGATGTACCCTTCATCATCTCCACACTTCTTAAATCAGGACACATCTTAATGACTGATTTGTACATTTAACGGACTGGTGTTTCTTTCTTTCTCCCAAGTAAGCTGATATTCAATTGGTGATGCAGCTAATACTCAACAGCGTCTTAGAAGCAAGAAAACGCAGTATTTTTCCAGCCATTTTCTAAATCTGTGATGAAAGCATCTGACATAGAAGAACTCCATAAATGATAGCATATCGCCATATACTGGTCAAACAAATAATCGTATCTTCTTCACAGAACTGTAATAAAGATGAAAAGATCTGACAGCAAGGATCTGCAAAGCCACCTGTTTTGTATATAAAGTTTTATAGGAGCACAGCTTCTCTCATCCCTTCACACATTGTCCATGGCTGCTTTTATGCTACAACAGCAGAGCTAAGTAGTTACAACGGGGCCATCTGGGTCACAAAGCTGAAAATGTCTACTATCTGGCCCTTTACAGAAGTTTGCCCATGCTTGTGATAAAGTATGAGAAAGGACAGGGCCAGTGGTGGCTGCTTCCCTATTTGCAATTGTCACACGCCTGAGAAGGCAGCCAGGGAAGTCACTGATAAACACTCTATCAGGACAGAGCTCAGGTGGTAGTCCTGTCAAGAATCTCTGCAGACTCCACTGTGGACATCAGTCCACAGTCAGCAGCCCCCGGCTTTGGTTACTCGGCTTTATATGAGCTCCTCCTCTGTGAGCACGGCATCTCTTGCCTGTGAAGGGGAATTACAAGCACACAGGGTTTGTGACACGGGGGGACTCTCAGGAGCTCTTAGGGTCATAGATCTGTTTATTCCTACACTCCTGTCCCAGGAGCTGAACTCTGAGAACTGTTTACCACCATCTCCTCTCCCATTAAATACACTAACTCAGTTTTTCTTGGTTTTTTTTTCTGTTTCCTTTCACTGCTGGCTCACTAGGAACAGGATGTTCCAACAACATCCCCACTGCCACATTTGGGAGAAAGAGGCCTAAAGGAGGGGTAGGCAGGCTGTGACTTGGTCTGTGGGTCAAGTACGTGAATTTGTGACAACTTCCATTTTGTCCACTCAGTGGTCTTTCTCTTGTCCCTGGTGGGGATGGTGATGGTTACCGGGGATGTGACATGATATTACATTACTGGTTATTTTCACATCTTTACCTTACCTAGCTCTGACTGAATCCCAGTCTAACACCAACTTAGCGAGCTGTTTCCTCTGTTTCTGGATGTTGGGAATCTCCACCTAGAAGAAAGAACATACCAACTAGGATGTGCTTTGGAGTTTTAGCTTAGCATTTTAAGGTGCAATAATTATTTACAAATGTTTTTCTCTAGGGCAAAGGATTTTGTACCCTCAATTTATGTTAAAGCCACTTACTACTGGTGACATTTTAGACACAGGTGCACCACCCACCCCCACCACTCTCAGCTCTTCTACACCGCTCAGTGCAAGCACCCACCTCTGCTACGCCATAGAGAGGGTCCACGATCTCTCTCTCAATGAAGACCTCATGCTGAGAGAGCTCGAGGGCCAGCTGATTCTCAGCTTCTCCGCACGTCTCCAGCATCTTCCTTTAAAAACAAGACACCCAACAACAAACAGATGCTCATGAGGTCAGGCACGAGATGGTCACGCTGATGCAGTTTTGCTTAATGTATGATGGCAACACATCGGGGTGCTACCCAGGAGAGCCTTAAAAACATTACACGTTTAGGGCATCACCTAAAATGTGAGTCCACACGTCTGTGCTTCAAAACGAAAATGACTGTCTCAGGCACGGCCCTTGCTTGCGTGGGGGGATGTGTATGAATGGTGAGGTGGCTACTTACTCGAGAATTAGGTTCTCCCCAGAGTCCAGTGGTTTGAGGACAAGAGTAAGTGGTAAAAATGCAAAAACTGGAAATGTTTATTTCATGAATCTTTTCTGAAGGGGAAGAGAAAAGACCAAAACTAGAGAACCAAGAGAAGATTTACTTAAATGTGTGTGTGTGTCTGTGTATGTCTGTGATACATATATCTAAAAGACAGATGGAAAGAAGAAACACAAAGAAAAATTTCTGAGGTAGAAGATGTGAAGTTGTTGCCACTCTCCTGCCCTCCACCTTGAAGAAACACACGTCTCAGATCCTTTGCTTCTCTGGTTCATCACCCGTGGATCAAGTGACTGTCGGTCCCCTCACAGGCCACTGGTCTTTATTCTGAATTTCAACATCCTTCCCTGTCCTTGCCTGTCCCTTTATTACACGGGCCTTCAAGAAGGCTCCACAATCCCATGCTAGATCAGTTCAACAATTATTTGTTGCCTCTATATTCTTGATGAAGTGGTGCTAAATTCCCATTCTAAGCCAGAAAAGGCAAGAGAGGAGAGCCTTCCACTTAAAACTTCGGACACCAACTTCTCCCTTTTTCACCTGAACTCTAAGTGAGACCAATAAAAAATTTTTAAAAAAGAATTAGGTTCTCAAATCAGGTGAAAACCCAATGTTCTAAAAATACCTTGAAAATCTTTTAAGTCATACGTAAAGTTCATTACACATTGTTTGATGTCTGCTAGCGAATCTAGCCACAGCTTGTTTCTCCCAGAGTTAACGCAAACGCTGCTTTCCTGCTGTGCAGACAAGGCGGCTGGCTAGCATTTGAGGACCACATGACATGAACACCACACTTCCTTTCATTTTCCTGTGGACATACAGCTGATGTCACACAAAGTGCACATGGAAGTGATGCCACTCCACTGTCTCTGTCCTGCCCTCTCTCCTTTCCTCCTCGCCCTGCCCCTGGCACTCTCCATGGGGTTCTTTTACACTAGAAATATGTGTGGTGCTGGTGTGAGGGGGCCCTGGTGTCGTTAAAAGCATGCTCTCTGGCACCCAGCTGCCCGAGTGTGAATACAAGCTTTGCTAATTTCCCAGCTGTGTGCTCTCAGGCAATGTCCCACCCTCTCTGTTGTCGATTTCCTCATCTGTGAAATGGGAGCATTACTATTACTTCCCTCCTAGGCTGTTGTGAGGACTGAGTGGGCTATGATGGGAAAGGACTTAGGACAGTTCCACACAAAGCGTCACTCTGGTGTGATGAGGATGGCAGCAGTGTGAAGAGGTACAAATGTGGAAACACACCTGGGCTGGGGGGAACAGGGATGCCAGCATGTGAGTACATGCTGCCCTCCTCCCAGGCCAGTGCCCCAAATATGGGAGCACGGACAAGCAAAGGAAGGGTGAGGGGTGACAGGAAACCATTCTCCTTCAAAGAATGAAGGGAGGACTGTAGATCCCAGGAAACAGGCTGAGAAGTCCAAAGGCTGTGCCCAGCTGGGAAGCAGGGTCCATGTCACAGTGGGACAGGGCAGCCAGGATGAAAGGACACCAGCCTCGCTAGAGAAGCAGGTGGAAGGAAGGGCAGACCTGCCCTCTCACAATGAAAACAGCTTTATTATTACATTTTTTTATTATGTAAATCAGGATGAAAGGACACCAGCCTCACTAGAGAAGCAGGTGGAAGGAGGGCAGACCTGCCCTCTCACAATGAAAACAGCTTTATTATTACATTTTTTTATTATGTAAATATGTACCTATTGTTTAAAAAAAATCCAAATAATTCAGAAAACACACTCTCTTGAGACAACCACCATTGACATTTTGGTAACCACCCTTAAAGGAAGTGACTCTTAAGGACTAAAAGACTGGTCACAGAGTTTATAAATCTAAGCCAATACCTGAAACAGGGAAGGGACCAGCTCTTTATATCCAAGTTTAGGGGAATAAACATTGACCCTATCAATTACTTGTGTTACCGGCACTTTCCACCATCAAACTCCAGCCTCCTATGAAAAGAGGGATTCTCCAGCAACCCAGTGGCCTTGACCCCAGTTTCTCTCACGGAGTCTGAGCCATTCTCCTGGGGGATGAGTCACACCGTCATGCTCACAGTACCTCTGGTCCCAGACGTGGCTGCCATGCACAGCCCCCAGCCCACCCACCTCCACCAACCCACAGGGCACTTGGCTCTCTGAAAGCAATGACTCTTACCCCAGGAGAGAGTCTTCTAGTTGAGTTGATGCTTCTTGCATATTCTGAGCGAGAGCTGTTAGCGGGAGTTTTTTCTGGAAAGCAGGAAACAGTGTGTTTTTTATTATTATTTGATACCATTTTTCAATGACCTGCTTCAGATCATCAATTGATTTCTCCCTCTAGGCAAACCGCACAGGTAAGAGCCTGTCTGGGTACACACTGTAGTCTCACAGGTATGAGTTGTGTGACAGTCTGTGTCTCAGTTTGGGGCTATATGTTAACTAAAGAAGACTTTCAACGTCAAGTGCCTAGTGCATGGTAAGTATTCAGTAAATGTTAGCTACTACTGTTATTGCTGTTGCTGTTACAATTATATTAGTTAATCAAGTGCACACTACATCCCAGGCACTGGGGACATAAGACATAGACTCTGCTCGCTAAATGATTATCAACATTATCAGTAAATGAAATAAATTGCTCGGTTTCAAGACCTTTTGCTGTAACACTCAAACTGGGTCTTACATTGGCTATAATCCTAAAATTTAGCTTTAATTAAATATCTAAAAATATCTAGCTAAATATCCAAAAAGGTTTTTCTATTGTTTTTAAACAGGAAGCCACTTATTTTCCTATCAGACATTTTTCAGCTGGCAATGACCACAGGATCACCTGATCAAACGTGCTCATCATACAGTCCAGGAACCTGAAGCTCAAGGGAAGTCAATAATGTGGACAGACACCCAGTGAGGGGCAGGAGAGCCTGACCTCAGAGACCATGTCCCGAGCCCCAGTTCAGTGTCTTCTCACCCCTGGCCAATGGCATATCTCAGAATATGGGTAGAAGAGGCTTGGAAAGTAACAAGTGCCTTGATTATAACACCATAATCTGCTAACAACCAATGCTTTCAACTCTGCAATACCCCATGTAATTTTTCCTTCCCAGTAGAAAGGGCACTAAAGTCAAAGACGCACGCCCACCTCTGGCATGTCACTTGACCCTTTTGCATCCAGAAGGCTCCATCTGATACATTTACACATGCATTGGCTTGTATCCTATAGAATATCTCTGTAAGGTTACACAAGAACCACTAATACTTGTGGCTCTGGAGGAAGATCTGGGTGCCTGGGAAACAGGGCTGAGAGAAAGAGAGACTTCACTCCATCTTCTTTTGTATATTCTGAATTTTGACCATAATTAGGATAGTCTATTCAAAACAGTAACTTGAAATTTAAACATAAATACCAACAATATATTTACCCATCTCTCCCTGCCAAGCTATTTTCAAATTAATAAATAATGGGCTCTATCTTCCCCACACGGAAACCCTTCCCAGCTGTTACACTTCTAGACTAGGAAGACATAAGAATAATAGAAGATAATTCACACGTTTTAGTTACACTGCCTTTCCAAAGGAAGTTAAATGTAAGATAAGTGCAATCATCAAGAGAGAGACTCGTATACTTTGTGCAACTCTGGAACTATGAGACTGGGGGGAAAAATCATAAAGAGAGGAGTCTACTTTGACAAGCATCATTCAAGATCTTGGTTATAAACAGACTTGTGGTTTCTATGCCCCGACCCCAAAGCCACTACACTCCTGTTTCCTGCTGTACATAAACAAGGAAATTCTGCTTAACACATGAGCTCATTAATGAAGATGTTGTCTACCAACACTGACCTCCTCCCCACAGAGGGCTGGGGGCTTCCTAGGGTGATCAGCTTTTCTACCATCAGGGATGATTTTAAAAAGCTCTAGGGCCGGCCCATGGCTCACTTGGGAGAATGTGGTGCTGATAACACCAAGGTCATGGATTCGGATCCCTATATAGGGATGGCCGGTTAGCTCACTTGGAGAGTGTGGTGCTGACAACCCCAAGTCAAGGGTTAAGGTCCCCTTACCGGTCATCTTTAAAAAATAAATAAAATAAAATAAAAAGCTCTAAAATCTTAATAAAATGCTTGCCAACCACACAAAAAGAAATAATTCTAAATTTAATATGACCCACAATGTAAGCTCTGCCATGTCAGTGGAGGCTCGGGCTGAGAAGGCCACCTGCCTGTCTCTCTTCTCTCCAATTCCCTCCTCTTCACAAGCACGGGAGCTTCTAGTGGTGTCTTTGGAGGCTGCTCCTGTGCTCTAGAGCCCCCAGAGACTGCTGTGATTTTCTCCATATCACATGATCTGTGTGGTCACTTATCTTCTCTCATCATTGCCATGTGATACCTCTTCCCATGTGCAAAGTGCAGACATTCTCAGAGCCCTGCTTTGGCACTTTTGTTTGAGATTGAAAAAGAAAAGCTAAGGTACTAGGTTTAAAAAATGATAGCCTTTGCCTCCACCACCTGACATATTCTCATCACCTGCCACTAATTTCCCTCCTTTACAGCTCAGGTACCACCTTCTCCAGGAAGCCTCCTCTGACTACCCCCTTCCTCCTGGGGTGCCTGTTCTTGGTCCTCCCATACACCCTGTGCCTATTTTATTTAGCATATTGTTTTATAATGATCCGTATGTATGTATCCCCCCCCCCACCAGGCCATGATCACTTACATTTTACTCATTTTATATCTCCAGCACTTATATGCAGTAGGTGTTTGATAAATATACATTTAATTTGTTTGTTTTTAATGAATATGTGTGACACTTGGGCTGTGTCTCAAAGCAAATAGCAGGAACAAGAAGACATAACTGTGTGAAGGACAGTGACATATTTGGGGCCTGGTGGGTACTATGTGGCTGGAATACAGCATAAATCAGAGGAGGCAGCAGAAAATGAAGCTGATAAGGCAAAATGGGGTCAGATCATAAAGAGAGCTTGGATTTTTATCCAGGCAATGGGAACCAGCTAGTGTTCCTCAAAACAGGTACCACTGGCATTATGGACACTTGCTTGTGTGGAATGATTCTGCCAGGCACTATGGAACATTTAGCACATTGGTTCCCTCGCTCCAAATGCCTATAGTATCCCCCAGTTCTTATGGCAACCAAAACTGTCTCTACACATCTCCAAATATCCCCAGGGTGTAAGTCTGTTCCCTGTTAAGGACCACTAAGCTAAGATTTTTTTTTAGGTAGAAGGAGGACAGGATTGATTTGTATTTCATGAAGTCAGCTCTGGTGATCAGGGTGAAAACAGTGAAAAGGAGGGAAATTAGAAGCAGGAAATGTAGCTCAGGAGGTGACTACAGCAGTCCCAGTGAGAGGTAATCAGGTCTTGCATCTTAGGGTGAAGGTGGTGACAGTCACAGAGGGAATCCCAGCACTCACTAATCAGGCAGCTTAAAAAGGACTCTAAGATGATCCCACATTTTCTATCTTGCACAATAGGGTGGACGGAACTGAAGAGAGTCAACACAGAAGGTAGAACTGGTTATGTATGCCAAAACAGACATCTGGGGAGGAAGGTTTTCGCTGGGTTGAAAATGGCTTAGAAGTCACTGGCATGAATACATCATTTAAGCCATGAGAACAGAGGAGGGGTGGCCGAGAGAATGTGGCTTTGAGAATGAGGAGAAGAAGCACAGTACCCTGGGAAATAATATCAAGAAGGTAAGAGGAGCAGAAGCCCTGGCAAGAGAATGAGAAGGAACAGTGGGGAAAGACTGGGTCTGGTTCTGAGGAACCGGACCCAGCTGCGAGCATTCCTGGAGCTGTGGGTGTCTGCAAACTCCCACTCCTTTGATATACTCAACTGCAGAATCCTAACTACTGTGTGAGAGGAATAACCCTCTTGTCAAGGAGACCCATAAGTGTCTGCAGGAAATATAAAAGAAGGGTGATATCGATCATCTGCATCCTACTTCTTCCTTTTGAGACATGTGGTGACAAACAAAACAATAAAGCAAAGCGCAGCCTTCCTGTGTGCCGCTGAAACTGTCAGTTTAATGTCACAAGGGCCCTAAGGGGCAGTGTGTGCTCATAAGCCAGGAACTTGTAAAAGCAGGGATGGAACTGCCTAATGAATGAAAGCTGCTGTGCTCTACTGGTGCACTTGGGAACCTGCATGCTCTGGACAAATGGATGCTGGAGTCAGCATTTGATGGCTCTCCTAGAGTCCATCCTTCTTCCTCCCTGCCTAATGAATGAAAGCTGCTGTGCTCTACTGGTGCACTTGGGAACCTGCATGCTCCGGACAAATGGATGCTGGAGTCAGCATTTGATGGCTCTCCTAGAGTCCATCCTTCTTCCTCCCTATAGCAGCATCCTGATTCTTCCTAGGGATCTACCAAGCTTCCATAAAGCCTGTGAGCTAGAGGCAGGACCACAGCCCATGCTCCAGGGCTGTGTCCAACCAGCTTAAGCCAACCAGCACATCCCACCTCCCCACCTACCTCACCCCTGCCCATGGTAACTAGGGTGGAATAGGAATGTCAGGAATAGGGAATGTGACTCGATACAGATCAGTGCAATGGAAAGGACTTGGAAAAAGAATTTTCTCCCTCTGTTAAGAAAACTGCTGGAAGCCAACTTGCGACCATGAGGGGTGCACTGTCTAGGGATCATGCAGACACTGAAGAAGGCAGAGAGAGAAGAGAGAGAAGGAAGGAAACGTTGTTCCTGGTGACATCACTGAAATGCCAGACCAAGACTTCCCGTGAATCCATCTCAATCTCCGGACTTCTCAGTTAGCAAGCCAATAAATCACTTCTACCTTCTGAGTCAACTTAAGACAGGCTTTCAGCTTTTTGCCATCAAAGATTCCTAACAAACATGTCCACTCTCCTTTCAATGACATATGGCTCACCGAGTCTCTAAAAGCACCTGAAGAAGGTTTAGTGTGAGAGGGGCTTTCAGCCCAGAGAAGTCTTAAGCACAGAAGAATGTCACGGTCAGGCAGATGTCATAAGCATGAGTGGTGACAGAAGGTACCAGTCCAGAGGCAAATCGGCTGATGCTGCTTGGGAAAAACCCACTGATCAAGGGGGTGAAAAGCCTAGGAGAAACGCAAGAATGGTAGCTCCGAGTGGCCTCTGATACTCACGTGTCTCCTCTCGGCATCAGTGCCATGCTGGCCTTGGAAGCACGCCATCAGGCGCTTATGGGAATGGTGGCACATTGACCGCACTGCATCCAGGCGCCGCTCAATCTGACAGGGCAGAGACAAAAGAGCCATTTGCAGGGCTTAGGAACAAACTCAGCCTCTCCCTTTCGTAGCATCTACATGTAGGGAGGAACAGCATCCTGCAGTCCAACTAGCTCTTGGGTGTAAATGAAAACGGTTCCTATTTACCTACACCAGGGTTTCTCACTACTGACATTTGGGGCTGGATAATTCTGAATGGTGGGGTGCTGTCCTGTGCACTGTGGTATGTTTAGCAGCACCTCTGGCCTCTCCCCACTAGACACCAGCAGCACCACACTCCCCCAGTTGTGACAGCCAAAAACGTCTCCAGGGACTGTCAAATATCACCTGGAGGGCAAAACCACCCCTTGGTACCACTGACCTCAGTTACACTGACAGTTTTAGATCCCTGAGAACTGAATCTGTCTGCGGGGAAAGGAGACAGTCTTGACTAAAACTTGCTAACAGACTGAGTGGCGGCAGTTCATTTATACACTACAGCACCAGCAAAGCCCCAGGTCCAACCACACAGAACTGCAAACGAATGGTCCAGGCCCAGATTCACTGCCAAGTGGGGAAAAGCACAGGGAAACCCAGAAGCTCTCTCCAGCACATGGCATTCAGCACACAGCACACCTGAGAGAAGAATCAAAATCAATGTTTCACAACTTAAATTCAAGATCAGTGTTTTCAAAATTATTAATTATTCCTTACTGGGTTTGGGGTGGGTTTTTTGGTTTGTTTTAATAAACCTCTGAAGCAGAATGGATAGCCAGCAGTAAGAAACACTGAGTTGGGGGACCCATGCATCATGAGTAACTTCCCAAAATACTACTGCTGGGATATGGCTGTTTATGGCAAAGAGAGCTGCTTTTACAGGAAGGAATGCCAAAAATGTGTATTCTATGACTCATGAAGAATGAGTGCAGGCCCTTGGGGATGCTATCTATTTTAAAGAAAAATAAAAAAATTCAAAGCAGAATACATTATGACCCCCCAAAATTTTACCCAATGAGATGGTCTATGCCTCTTTCTCAAAGGTCCTCCCAGCACCAGCAGCTTTTCTTCAGATCCAAACCCTGACCACCAGGACTCAGATCTGGCAGACAAGTTTATATTGAAGAACAGATGCCGTATCACCTTCCTCAAATCTTATTATGATCAGATTTTAAAATATGCGAAAACTAATGCACATCCTTCATTTGCCACAGAGCAAAACAAAAAACAAATGAAGCAAAATTCCTTAATTTAATTTTCATTCCAATTTCCACTAGAAATAAACTCCGTAAGAACAGGTGTCCCAGTCTGTTTCATTCACTGGTTTACCCCATGTGCCTGGAATGCTGTCTGTCATAGGAACAGAAGGTATTCATTTAATATTTGTTGAAGGGACACATATCTATTGAGTCCCTGTGCACGGTACTAGAAAAAAACAGTAAATAAAACTCTGGTTCCCACCCTCCTGGGATTCACAGTGCCCTGGGAAACTCCACACAACCAAAACAAAAGGCAGCTCTTTCAGTGCTCTAACAGATCTAAGAAAGGAGGTAGGAGAACACAGAGCAAATCAAGGGAAGTTTCATATCAGAAACATACCAGAAACAAATCATCTCTCTGGCTTATAAGAGTGGTAATAATAAAAACAAATCACTAATGTCTAGCACTTACCACTTGTCAGCGCCTTCCATGTTTAAACCCTCCTAACAACCCTGTGGGGCAGATACTGCCGTGACCCCCACTTTAGAGAAGTGGAAACTCAGGCACAGGGAGGTTAAGTAAACCCCAAGGCCACAAAGCCAGGCAGGAGCAGACCTGGGATTTGAACCCAGGCAGCTGGGGTTCAGATCTCCTCTCATCACCATGCAACTCACTGCCTTTCTTTCCTGTTCAAAACCATGTTAACTAATTTTATTGTTTCAGGTAAAACCAAAAACAAAAAAACCCACAAGCTTCAATTCTCACCTATGAATTTTTTTTTTTCTTTTCATGTCTTTAAACAGCATTTTAAAAAGACTATATTTGGTTACCTGTAAAAGATCTTCACTGAGGACTTCTGTTTTCTCAGCTCTGTGGGAAAAATTAAGAATTTAGAATTAGAAATCCAGAAATGAAAAGCAACTCATGAAACTCAATAATTATTAGCCTGCAGTTTAAAACAAAACAGACAGAAATGAATAATAAGGGGGAAAATGTCACCAATTTTAAGTCAGAGGCCAATTTAAGCAAAACCAAAGAAAAATAAAAAATCCAAAACTTGCAGAGAATAGCAACCCGAAACAAAAACACATGATCTACAGCAGTGGTTCCCAAACTTGAGCATGCACAGAATCACCAAGTGTGGGGTGGGGTGCTGATTTAAAATGCTATTTCCCAGTTCTCACCTGGAGATTCTGTCTATTCTAATTCAGATGGTCTGGAGTGAGATCCTGCTTTTTAGCAAGCCCCTCCCCACTCAGAATTCCTTTGCAGGAGGTTCATGGAACAGGTTTTGAGAAAAAACTGCTCCATGGAAGCTTAAACTTCAGTTCTTAAAATGATCGTTTTCGAGTTTCATAGCCTTATTGAAACAAACAAGTTCGTCACAAATCCAGAAACATTATGCAAAGACACAAGTCTCCCCCATTACACACAATAACAATTGAGTATTCCTCCTTCACATTTCTCCCCATTTTTACTTTAAAAAGAAAAAAAGTATTTTCACAACTTTCCCTTTGCAATGCTTTAGAACTACTATGAACTTCACCAAACTTTCCAGAAAACCAACATGGTGGCCAGCACTCAGAAGATGGACATTCTAAGCTGCTGGAGTCTCAGCTGCCAGGCAAAATAATTTTTTTAAGACTTTTCTCTGCATCGTTGCCATACAGAATACCCAGAATTACTACAATCTAAGTGCCATTTTGGATTACTGGTTCAAATTGTGATTTGAGCCAAGCCATTTAATATCCCTACCAAATTTCCATTGAAATGAACAAGGAAATTTTTAAAAGAGAAAGAAAAAGTCTGTTTCAGCTCTGAACACTGAAGGGGTTTGAGGGGGAGGCCACCAATGAACCAGAAAATTCTGAAGCCTTTTTATAAGATACACTGCAGAATGGGGCTGCTTGATATTAGCTATGACTCAATAAAAGAGAAGGAAAGGCTGTTTGGACAGAAAGTGAATGGGACCCCGAGAATGACCTCAAAACACTGCTAAAGCTCACAGCAGTCTGGCTGTGGGAAAAGGTATGAAGTATCCTGGTGTCCCCTGCAGCCTACACTTAGGGCAAAGGCACACCCGTCACCTGGTGAATTGCCACAGAGCATTCCAGTGCCAATTGACACAGCAGTGTCCCAGTTAACTTGGAGATGCCTACAGGAGTGGCTCACTCACCAGTTTCTGTAGGAAACCAGAACTCTGACCTCACTCAAATACCTCCCAGGGCCAGAGGATCACAGCCCAGAGACAAAGTCAAGCCCCCAGCTTCCAGAGGCAGCCAACTCAACTCCATGAACATGTTCCGCCAGCAGCAAGCCAAAATGTGCCGTCCTAGCCCTTGCTCGGCATGCATGGTGCAGGACATTGCTGAAGTGCCAAACACAGGTAGTCATGACACCTAGGGAAGTGGAGCAAGGCTCCAGCTGACTATGAGGTCACCCACCAGCCTCAGAAAGAAACCTGACAGTCAGCCTAGTGGGGACACGATGGCATGAGACCACCATAGCTCCATGCCTCTCACTAATAGCCTCATCCTTCCTCTAGCAAAATACCACCAGAGGATTGTGTGATTTTTACCTTTTCTTCTCTGGACAGGACCCAAATATCAGGATAAGGCCCTTACTATAGTTTGGATATGACTGGCCATCTAAAACTTAGGTTGTAATTTGATTCCGAGTGTGGCCATGCTGGGAGGTGGGCCTAGTGGGAGTGGCTGGGTCATATGGATGGATGGACACCTCATTAATAGATTAATGTCCCGGGGAAGAGGGTGATGGTGAGTGAGTTCTCACTCTGTTAGTTTCACTAGAGCTGGTTGTTAAAAAGAGCCTGGCACCTCCCCTCCCTCTCTCTTGCTTCCTCTCTCACTATGTGACCTCCAGGAACACAGACTCCCCTTCTGCTTTCCACTATAAGTGGAAGCAGCCTGAGGCCCTTGCCAGACGCAGCTGCCCCTGAATCGTGAGCAAAATAAACCTCTTTTCTTTATAAATTACCCAGTCTCAGGTATTCTGATATAGCAACACAAAAACGGACAAAGAAAGTAATGGATTAATGGGTATGAAGCTATGCTATCTACCCTAAGTGAATTAATGTACAGTGTATGCATGTATTGAAACAACACACTGTACACCACCAAAATACACAAATATATTGAAATAAAAATTTTTTAAAAGGCAAAAAAATATATATATATTAAAAAGTGGACTAGGACATCCCTGTAAACCTCTGATAGAACCCATCTTTACTCTGAAATCTCTTCCTTCTGTTAAGTATGAGTATACAGAGGAAAGTCCCAAGGCCTATTAACATTTTTACAAGTGCAAAAGAAAAGATTCAACCTAAGAATCAGGAAAAATATGTCTTCTTACAGAATAAATTATTTAAAAAAAAGTAACAGAAGAGGAAAACTTGTTTTACAATCCCAATGTGGACTGTTAGCAGGTATGTGAGTTATTAATAGTTCTATGGTATGCTACAGTCAGCTCAGAAGAACCAATTGTGTGCATCTTTTCCCAACTCCTTGTTTTCAGTGATCTCACACTGCTAACTTGAAATTAAAAATCAAATACAATACAAACAACCACAAACAACTCAAATCAGGGCTTTTTTTTTTTTTGCCTTTTGTGAAAGCCAGTTAAACATTTATGAGCAAAGTGCTTCAACAGCCACAAAGAAAATAAAGCAAATATAAAAACAAAGTGAGCATTAAGTTCAGGAAAAACAAAAAGTCCACCAGAAAGACAGTTATAGCACACTAGTATACTCAGCTGCAAATACTTGATTGAATATAATAATGTAAATGTCAAATAGTAATATAATCAAAAACTGTAACGTAACTCTATTGGAAGGATGGGGGAGTTAGAAGCAGAAGGGAAGGTTATACAAGAGCCCTAAATCCTCATTTATCATAACAAAGTCAACAGACAATACCTAAATTTGATGACCCAAAGGATAGCAGTTTATACATATCATTTGTAAATATGACTATGAGAAATAATCAGAATAAACAGCTAAAATTTCAAAGTAGTTGCCTCTGGAGTTGGGTAATCTCTGTGAGAGTGAGTAGAGAAGTCACTGTACTTTGTGCTATGCCTTTTAACTATTACTTGGCTTTTTAAAATGCATGTATATATACATAGTTCAAATTTTTTAAATAGCATATTACTTATACCTTGAAGTAGCATGCTTGATATGGTTAGAGGTGAAGTAATCAGTATATTTATCATCCCTTTTCAAATCTGGACCTTTGGCTTTAAATTTAGAGGTACTTTACCTGAAAAAGTATCCGGAGGCTGAAAAATATAGTGATC